CTTTCCCTGGAACCTAAATGTATATTATGAGTTTGAATCCATCAGAAACTAAGTCAGTCAAAATCAAATTTAACTACATACGAAGTGAAAACGATTTGTATTTCGCAAATCAAAGTGATAGTTAAAGCAACCAAACTGTGTCAGAAATGTTCCCAAATTACTAGGTAAGGCTTTTATCAGCTCATCATCTGATCCAATAATTTTAATTGTGGCATTTCATTCGGCATGTCGCCGCACGACTTCTATGATACTCAAAGTCTCACATATATAATTTGAAAGGGGGGGTCTGGGGGGGCGGCGCCCCCTCAGCAGGTAGCTTTTGCTACTTGTTTAATGTTACTCTAATATCGAAAACATTCATGCTAAGTCATAAAGCCATCCCATGCCAAAAAAGCCTTTAAGCATTTCTAGCAAGTGGAAATGTTAATCCTATGTAAACTTGTTAATGTGTGAATGGACCACCATGTAAGGTGTGAATTTAAGCATTATGATGTATTTTTTCTCATGGAAATTTCTCGTAGAACATAATTTGTGGAACGAAAAATGACTGAAAATAACTCCTCCCAATGATATTGACATTTTTAGATGCATTAATTCAAACTTCCTGCTCATGAATAGAGAGTCATCTTCTTCTGTTTCATCATACACTGTAGAGTACCTTTATACAGGAAAGTATTGCCATCGCAATCCTTTTACTATAGAAAAAGTGTGCTGCTCTCCGTTTGGTCGGCTATCGTGGAGCCCTAGAGGTGGCCCAATGTAAACAAAGGAGATGGTGACAAAGTTCTACAAAGTTCTAGACGTGATTTTGGATGTGATGGAAATTATTTATATCTAACTTCTGAATTGAGTTCGGATCGAACTTTGATTAATATTTTTGCCGAAAATTAACTATTGAGTGTAATTATCATTAATTTCTCAGCTGATAATATGTGTTCCTCTGGGCCGGATTTGTTTACATTAGGCCAATTTTGGAGCTCCATGGTAGCCTAAAACTGATGAACCAATCAGAGAGCGGCACAGAGATGGCAATACTCTCCCATATATAGGTACTCTAATACACTGAACGTTACTATGACAGTCTTTGCAGTACAAAATCTGACAACCTCAATGTAGGCGCTTTGGCTCAGTTATTGCATGTTGTTTACACTCTGAACAACAAAATGTGGGGGAAAACACTGCTTACTGAGAAGTGTGCCTAAATCATTAAAGTGCGCAATTTGATTCTAGTAGACTATGGTTTTTCATGTGAGCAGGAAATTTAAATTTTTCTTAACCAATTTCAAATCAAAACGGCAATTCATTATGTTTCTTTTTCTCCTTTTTCGGGTTGTATCAGATAATACTAACTTTTTCTTTTTCGCCCAATTTGATATTAGCAATTCATTAATTGGGAGTTAATGCCAGTAATATACATTTTGCATATCGTTTTCTGCATGAACTTTTGAAGCCAAAACATATATCTGAATGCTTAAATTCGTACCTTGTCTAGGGGTTCAGTGATTTATTATGTTTTCTAAAAACTGCTGTGTGTTGATATCACAAAATTCCAATGGAAATGTTTGTTTCAATGAAATATCACTATGATTATTTCTACAGGAAGTAGCAATGGCTCAGAGCGATCCCGTATTCTCCAATCAAATACAGGAGTGATGAACCCCCCACCCTTACCACAAACTCTGAAAGGGCGAGGTGGAAGCTCTGGTGGAAGTGAGTCAGGAGTTGAAAAAACTGGTGATCACAGGTCACGGTCGAGTGGGTCTGACTCGAGGTCCTCAGCAGTAACAGCCACAGCAACAAACCCTGATGACCTCTCTGCCTCAAGGCAGTCGTTTCGAATGGCCATGGGAAATCCTTGTGAGTTTTTTGTCGATGTTATGTAATTTTTTGCCCTCAGCGGAAAAATGGAAACTTGTATCTTCAAATCTGTCTGTATTTCTGCCTTTCTGCTTTTGTAGGGCTTTGTCTAACCTTTTAATTCTAGGAGCTTTTCTTTGATACTTTTCAAATATGTAAGGTTTCAGAATTTCTCGTAAGAGTTAAACTTTTTTGTGAATTTGATATGCAGTGGCACAATAAAATGGAAACCATGATGAACCCTCAGTACCTAGCATAAAGTATATTAAGTTTTTATCAGAGTTAAAAATTTGTAGAAGCTATTACAGTTTCTGTTAATCCTTTTTTTAAATTTACATTTTCTTTTAGAAAAAAACCTGCTAAGGAAAGACAGTGCATTTAGAAACTAATTTTGGTAGCATTTTTGGCTGCAGAAAGTACGGAATCCCAGCATGGATTAGTTCTTAGTGAAAGTTACGAACATTTGGAGCTTTTTTTTTCTTCTTTTAAATTAAAGTACTGAGATTTTTGGATAAAAACGCTAACTGTGGACGCTACTCACAAAAAATTTATCACTGCACCAAGACGAGGCAAGAATCATAATACCTTAACCATGTTTCCTCATCAAAATTTCTTGTTTTACACACTGACCAACCAGAAAATTTTAAAAATCAAATCATAAGCGAGCAACTGTCAATTATCGTTTCCATTAAAACCAGTCATTATTATGAATTCAATCCTCCCATTTGAGAACTTGTAGACTTTGGTTTTTTAAAAAGTGTAAATAGTAGAATGTGGAACTCCTCAATTTCCTTGGTCTTGATTTGAATTCGAACATTTTAATAGTGTACATCTTTTTGTATGTGAAGTTATGAAGAGAATACATGTACTTAGGTGTTCAATCCCTCACTTTTTCTAATGGTCCATTGCAGAAACTTCTCCGCAATATACGATGACTCAGAAATCCCTAATTTTACATACATTTGTCCTTTTTCTGGATAATAATAACAGAAAGAGAGATTGCTAACTTGAGTTTTAAAATATTTGGGGAATAAATGCAAGTATGGTCAGTTGAATGACGCCATGAGGTGGCCTCTTTCCTCCTTCAAGTCTCAGCCTCTCTTTATTGCGCCTCCCAGACTGAGTACTTTTTATTTCTGTGTTTTGCATTTTCTTGTATTCAGTAATAACTATGAAGGAAATGTACCAATTTTTTTGTTTTCATTTATTTTTTTTCTTCAAAGAAGTGTATTATCCAATGTCCGTGAGAAGGCTTAAAGTACAAGCTTGGGCTAACCACCAGCGTTATTGGTTTTTCTCGTCTTTTTACTCTGATTTATTGTTTTAGCAAGAGTTTATCAGCGGTCCTGTGAAACCGTCAAATTTAGTAATATCTAAACACTTACACTAATACCTCTTTATTTTTACTCACCATATTTGCACACAAAACTAATCTCTCCTCTTGTGCTATTTTTGCGCGCAATTAAAATTGATTTTCTTTTGTTTGTTTCAGATTATTCCCTAATATAGTGTTTAATGAACTTTTTAACTCAATTTGTTAAGTTTTGTTATTATTACTGTTTTGACAACAGTGTACAAATGTTGAGTTGTCTAATTTAATGAGGAGTTTTGATCCAATGTCAGAAACTTGAGAGCAATAAAGAGTGAGTTTGTTTTCAGAACTCACCTGTAAATTGGCTTCTTATTAAGAAAAGCGTTCCTTTTACTGGAGAACACAAAGACGTTTGAAACTCTTCTGCCTCTTTCTCATCAGTCATTGAAGTTTCATTGAGAGGATTATTTTTGGCTGTTCTCCAATTTCCTGCATACCCCAAGACTCGATTCAATTGTATTCCGAAGTATCGTTTTCACAATATCAAACTTTGAACCAAAGATGTAAAGTAAGGGATCATACTAGATCCGTAATCTGTATTGGATCATAATGGTTCATGGAACTGTAGTGGTTTTATCTTTGACCCTTGTATGGTCAGGATGTTGGTGACTTTGGCCATTCCGTGGATTAAAAAGTCATCCTTTAAGATATTGTTGATCACATTGCTTCAGTTTACAAGTGCAAAAAATTCCAAGGGTTCATCAGGGATATCAAAAGCCAGACTTTTTCCAGATTGTTGCTAAGTATCATGATATCGTTGGCCAAAGTGTGAAACCACGTATCTTTATTTGCAACGTTGTAGATTGCCTGTCATTCTTTATTTTTCTTCGGAAAACTAAGTCAACATAATTTCTTGAAAATTTCCTTGATTTTCCTTCTTTGTCAGAGGAATATCCTGTACAAATCTCAAGCTATGAAGTTGGCCTCTTTCTCTTTGAAAAAGTACAATTGGAGCTGAAATTTCGAAACACGGGAAAGGAGGTACATGGTTTCGCACTTTAGCCATTGTTATGATATGCACTGTAAAAGCTTTGCAGTTTTCTTTTAAATTGCTCCCATTTTTTACTTTTGAGTAAACACATTACTTAAATAGTTCATCTTATCTTAGCAGCAAAAGTGCCCTTTAAAATTGTAGCAGACAGCAGACACACCATTTTGGTCTACGATAATACTCCTTGCTGTTAATTTTCTCCTTCAATACGTATTTCTGTTTAGTTGTTGTACTTTGATTGAAGTACTAACCTCTGTCCTTTTTTCTCCAAATTTTGTTACGTCCTAGAGAATATTTTTCCGATAAGTATACGTACTTAATACTAATGACTGCTTGTTAAGTTTTCGCTTTGACAGTGTAACTCATGAAAATTGTACTAATTTTCGCTAGAAATCATTGTCTCCTCTTCATTTACTGTATCGATATTCTTGGAGCTTTTGTATCCATGCTATTTCAATTCTGTTGTAATACTTCTTTCATTTATCTAAGGTATTGTTGAGACGATTGACATTGCACATTAGCATGCTTTAATATGCTTTGACCCAGAAAAACTATTACTGAGGCAGCTATGAGTCTTCTTTTATAAGATTTAATTTTTTTTTCTCCTGGAAGAATGTAATCCATAAAATTGGAATAGTGGAGACAAGGTAGCGTTTCATGAAATTGAGGATGAGGGAATTTTCGCCTGAGGTAAAAAATCTCTTCTTATGGGTAAACAGTGTAGTAAATAGTACCAGTTAGGTAAAAAATGCCTACCTCGAGGACTCAATCCAATATTTTTTAAACATAATGGATCTGATTTAACTAATTTTTGTGATAGTCTGAACAAATTTTCATGCCTGCATCACGAAGACTTTTGATAATATATCTCCTAGTTTTTTGGGCCTAAAAATATTGCTGTGCCAAAAATTCCACCAATCAAGCAATATGCAGAAGTGAACTGTTTTTCTTTTTAGAATAAATAATTACGCACTTTAAACTTACGACCGAGGGTATCAAAGAAACGCAAAATGTGATATACTTCTCAACTGTCCCGTTCCTCCCTGATGTCTGATAATCTTAAGTGAAATATTCTTGCCCTTTTATATTCATAAAAATTCTATTACTGTGCAATTTTTAACATAGTGCCCTGAAATTACACAACACATTTTTCTAACCCTACTACTCACCTTTTCTTTTCCACCAACCTCCATGTTAATGAGCCGTTATATGAACAAAGTGGAGAATTTCCTCGCTGCTCCCCTCCCCCTTCTGTATCTGTTTTTTTTTTTTGGAAAGACTGAAATTTTTTTAGTATATTTTTAAGTCTAACTCAAATTAATGTCACATGAAATTCAAATCTCGATGGCTGGCAAACAATTCAACCCATCTGCAAACTGACGACTTTATGGATGACGAAAAAACTTCGCCATTTTTTAATTAAACTTTAAGCTGAAGGATGAGGCAAAGTTGCAAACTCATTCTCTTTAAAATTGTCGGTTAGGCGCTGTTGTCCCTTAATCATCGGTCTGAATCGTATCATTCCAAGTGTGTTGTGTGATTCATGGGTGCCCTTGCTCATAGTTAGGCGAAGTGCAACAAAGTTTTTGATAATTTTTAATCCTTACTTCCTCCATCTTTTGTAATTTTGTCCGCAAAGTTTTTTTAAATTTACAATGGAAGTGTCAATTTTTCTACAATTTTGATAGAATTCTAAATAGGTATATTTTAACTTAACTTCCTCCTATCGATGTCAACTTTGTGTCTCAAATTTGTAGAATTTGTACTAACTTGCTTCTAGTTTTCTTTCCTATTTTTTCTTTTCATTTACTTGGCTTATTTTTAAATTATATAGCTTTCTAATGATCATATTAAAGCCTACAAGGAGAGTATCATCTCTTAATAAATGTCATCATTTAAACATCATAAGGATTACAATAGTGCAAGTGCCGAAGTGTATCATCCGAAAATAACGGTATTTGTTTACCCGATTATATATAACGAGATTTTCAGGAAGGGTGCCTTGCACATACTGGAGTGTTCTTAGATCGCACTGATGATTTATAAATCTTGTCGGTCCACCTATGATAAGTGTTATTTGAAGTATAAAAAGTAAACAAAAGGAAGTAAAAAATTATCAAAACAAACATATCTTTCAAAGACGTTTCTTTATCCATAGGTTTTGCTATGTTCATTTCTTTTGATTTAAGAAATCTTAAACTCCAAGACTGCAAGAAGTCTTCCTGGTTTTAAATTTCTTTGAGTTTAGTATTTTTAATAGCCTTGTATTGTTTCTTTCATCTCATGTTTGTTTTCAGTTGAGTATGATCTATTGGAGCAGAACTTATAGTCCGTCGCTTCGTTCATTGCAGCAAGCTTACAACCTACCTTGCTTATGATTTGGTGCTTTATAGCAGGTTTTGACAAGTCAATAGATCCGTCCTCGACACTTTGTTATTTATCTTGAATTTTCTTTTCGTCGATTTTAGTTTTTATGATTTACGTATGACTTCAATGTGCTATAAGATTCGTTACAGGGTATTTTTTCTTTTCAATAATTTATTTCATTTTTTTCTCTATTAGTTTTTAATTAAAATTAGATCATATTAGCCTTTCCCACCCTTTTTTTTCAATAGAAATGTTTCAAATATGAGACTCTATCATTAGCTGATCAAGGAAAATCAGGCAACTGGAATTAATTACTCCTTTTAAATCAAAAAGAACTAAGAAGAATCATGATCAGCAATAGTGTCAAACAACTCTTTTTGAGAAAAATTCATAGGTTTATTATGCAATTAAGTCTCCGTAAAAATTGTCTCAACCAGCGTTTTACCTGCTCGATCAAAAAGTTCACTCCAAGCAAAAGTATTTAGTCTCAATACTGCAATTTTTCTTTCCTTTTTAATAGTTAGCAAATCTAGTCTTTATGAATGCTATATTGTTTTTTCCTCCCGGTCGTTTTTTGGAGTTTTCCGTTTCTCACAACATAATTCTAGCATGACCTTGTGTTAGGAACTTTATTAGTCTGGGATTTTAATGGAACATTAAATATGTAGTTTTTCAGAACTTCAAGTTGTACCAAGTTATTCACATTCAAATAAGACAAAGTTATGTAGAGCATAGATGTTGCGAACTGAACATTCTTTTTTAAGACTTGTATTTATTGTTATCAGATGTTTTAGAATATCAAAGAATGTATCCAGATTAACTTTCTGATATTTAGCCAAGGAACAAGGTCTATCGACCCAGATCAGCTTTTAAACCTAGTTGTGTATGGTAGTTGACGTGTATTGTCCAGCACACGTTCTCAGAATCGTGCCTCAGTGTCTTTTATCGCAAGTTGCTCATTGATATTGATAAGTTTTACCAAAATCGGAAAGGATTTCCTCATGAATCTGATATCACTTTAAGGGTATCAGGGATACAGGTTTCATTATCAGTTTTTTACAACAAATGAACTAAACAATAGAAATTTCCGCCTGTTGTCAGGAGGCTACAGGCTTGAGTATCATTGAAATAAAGTGAGCGAGAAAACACCTAAAATAAAAAAACTTTCACGTCGAAGGATTCCAAAGGTGGAATCATTAGTAGGATAATCTAAGTCAATAGATTAAATTGTTAGAGGGCTGATCTGAGTCTATGAACCTTGGTCAAGAAAGCTGTTCCTTCTTATTTCTGTTTTTAATTACCTCGCTTACTTTACCTACTTATCCCTCTACTATGTATACTCCCAGTTGTTATTGTTTTGCTATCGTTGTAAAGCTGCAAAGTATGACAGTATCATAAGCCACTAAGTGTATTGTTAATTCTGTACAGTTTGAATAGATTTTGTACAAAATCCTTTTGTATAGAGTGCGTGCCAAGATTTAATAAATTATTTTATAAAATTTACTGCAGAATCTTCTTATCGATAAAATCTAATTGTTGGAAAAATTCAAGTGATGGAAAACGAAGAAAAAAATTTAAGACCAGTTGACGTAAGTCACAGGTTTGTTTTTGTCTGAAATTCAAAGGATAGGGTGAGAGATATTTATCAATGAAGTCTCAGTAAAGATTGTAATAACTTTATTCTCACGAAAAAATACATATTATTTGCGTATGCCTCCATTAAAAGATTTTACAATAGATCAAGATAAACTTTATTCAGAGAGAAATCTTCATCACATTGGATTCAGCAAGTTCACAAAACTATATGCATCCCAGATTATCATTTCAGAAGAGGCAAAGAAAATCTTAAAATTGCAATTGGATTGAAAGATAGGAGAATGATTAAATGTAAATGATCACTTTGCCAGATCACAGAAAATATCTTGTTCTACTGACTGATGGTCAAAAATTTTCACTTGGGTTCTAAAAATATTTGTGTCAAAAAACGATTGTGCTATTGTAAAGCAAAGAGTCATAAGTCATGTACAGTGGCTCAGTTACTCCTCATGCAGAGTTCAGAAGTTTTGTTTGAAGGTCAGGGAAAAGCATAAAATCCAGGGAAAGTCAGGGGATCAGAAAATGAAGAAATCATGGAAACTACGAACAGGGATTATTCGTACAAAAAAGAAAATAGAAAAAAGAGAGAGAAGAATGTAAACTGGAAAAAAGAATTAACTTCGTGGCAAATCCTAGTTATCATTCAAAAACTTGCGAACTCTCAAAAGTAATAAAATTAAGAATTAGGTCAAATGTCAGGTCACACCTGTTGCTATCTACATTGAATTATCTACTGGAAAAAGACTTCGGTCTTTTATTTGAAGATTTATATTTTAATGAAACACTCGAAATTGCCATAAAAGACTTAGGAAGTGTCCACTGTCTGTCATAAGATCCACAATGATCACAGAAGCAACTTAAAATCAGTGGACAGAAATAAAGGCACAATCTTAAATTTTTGACAAAAAAAAAGGATAATCAGAAAAATTACCAAAACCACGCAGTTGGAGACTGCAATTTGTAACCTAAGAGGAAGTACAATCAATATAATAGAATCACAATGTATATAAAATAATATGACACACGGAAAAATTAATTTAGACTATGTGGAGGATTGAAAGCAAAGAGAAGAGGAAGAGATGAAACTGCACAGGGCTATAGGGTTTATGCAAGTTGGTTACATAGGAAACAAAAGCGCCATCAAGACGCTCCAGAGGATTCATAAAAATAACAACAAAAAAGAAAAATGAATTAACAAATAAAAAATAGAAAAGAAAAAAAAGAAGAGATCAAAGACCTTCATAAAATCACAGATACCTATCTACTTACAAACTTATTCAAAGCAGCTTATCGATACAACCTAACAAGTGACCCAGCTGTATCAGTTGAACCAAGGTGATAGTTCTCGAAAATTCCTTTCTGTATGATACATCTCTACAAATTCTTTTCGGTCAATGAAATGGGAACTGAATCAGATAATTCTCAGGCACAAAAGGATTTACTCAATGAACGTGGGCTCGGCTATATTCAATAGAGACATATTGAGAGAGACCTTCGATATTGAAACTGGAATCAGCCTGAAGATATGAGACTTTGATTGATTGTCTTAAACTAAACGACTTAACACCTTTGAACTTCCTGTGAATTTATCCTATATTAGAGAGAATACGCTCTCACAATTTCAAGTCTCAGTATTGCTTACAATTAGTTCTTTGTTTATAGGTTAAACATGTGAGAAAATTAGGCACCCTGAAACACAGGGTGTCCCAGGATTAAGTACGAATATTGAAGGCGTCGATTCTTTGGGTCAAAAAAAGACGTTTTTGTGGTATAACTTTTTTCCAAAAACGCTTTACCTGGGGGCCACCCCCACCCCCTTCGCGCAAACCCGCACTCCATTCAGTCACTATTATCTCGAAAACGAGGAGTCATAGAAAAAAAACGCAAGACGCATTTCACAAGAATTTTCAGCACTGAATCTACACGTGCCGTCAAAAATCAATTTTTGTCGCTTGAAACATTAATTTTGGCCTTTTTACGGTTCGATACCCCTCCAAACCCCCCCTCAAAATGAATTTTCCCTTTTTTGGGTGTCAGAAATGAAAAGAACGCTAAAAATTACTTCCACTTACCAATTTTCATTAATATTGGTAAACATTGTCACAGTGTTAAAAAGACTGATTTTTTTTCTCCAACTTAGGGAAGTTGTGGCCCTCAGGGAAAATGTTTTTGGAAATAAAAGTTATACCACACAAACGTCTTTTTTTCACCCAAAGAATCGATTCCTTCAATATTCGTACTCAATCCTGGGACACTCTGTATAGTTAGGCGAATTTCAGTTAACCCATCCAATTGCCAATCAGTTGATTAAAAAGGCCAAAACTCATAATACAGAGGTCTAATTGCAGGAATGCTTGCATTGGTGACCAATTAGCTACTTACAACAAAGCTACTTACAGCGAAAAGAACAAGGACCTCCCTCACTTACAGTTTTTGTTTTTCCAGAAAGGATACTTACTTTGCCAAGCTTTTTTAAATTAATTATTTGCGTTTTAAATTGCGATCCAGTAAAAATTGTATTCGTTGATAATTTTTTTAAGGACATGCTTTTACATTCATTGGAAGAGAAACTACAAAACATTACCTAGCCACTTGCATTAATTCCACCTAGATGCCTGATAATATCTGTTGGATGTGATGAACAAAAAGTCATCCCAAAAATGTAACTAAAATATTCAAATATAACACAACAAATTATGATGCTTTGCAATAGTATATTGCATAACAGCATTTCATTGCGTAAGTTAAAGTGAACTGAAACTTCATGACTACATTGTACATTCTCGACTACCTACAGTATAGAGGAAGAATTGAAATAGTGTTTAAATTACAGAAAAAGTAAACTTAACATAAAAAATAAAACAACAATATAATATATAAAAAAAAAAATCACTAATCAGAGATAAAAAAATAACAATTTGATAAAATCATGAATTTTCTAGTAGTTCTGAACACACTTCAAGGTAAGGACTGTTATATGAATCACAACCACAAAAATTAAATTTCTGAATTAAAAATTCCCTTTGAGTATACACAAAAGAGAAAAATTACCCACATGCTCATTGAGGTTACAAGAAAAAAAATCTCAAAATCTCCTCTAATTGAAATGATATTTTTTCTCAGGGCTTAAGCGTCAAAATCTGAACCTCCATCAAAACCATAAAAAAAAGTCCAGCGCTTGTTTAAGTTTTTTGAGCCCAATTACAATACATATTCTTCAGACATAAACATTTTTTGGGCTCAATAGATTGAGCGCTTACCAAACAGTAACTTTAACCTGTTCTCCACGAAACTTAGATTTGGCGCTTGGGCCCTTAGGGAAAAAATATCGGTGTAAGTGCTACTTGGTAGCCTTTCACTGAGGTGTGGAGGAGGATGTTGTATCAGCATTCCTTCATAAAAAAGAGGAAACATGAGCTGACTGAATTAGTACATCCAAAAGCGGCTTTAAGTTTGACTCATTCATGATCATTTTTTTTCGTCAACGATAACTATAAATCTACTTTCAAAGGAATTTTGTCCAATAGATTGTTGGTAAAGGTGTCTTAGGACTAGATAAATATACTAAACAAAAAGCACCTGAAAATATGGAATAAAATGAAAGAAAAAAAAAAAAAAAAAAACTAGCTCGGTGCACGATTTTGCCCTGAGGATTTTTTCTGAGGAGTAAATACGAGTATTTTAATTCTCTTCTACGAGTTAATCACTTTCTTGAGGCCGGAAATAAAGCTATGGTAAAACTAATATTGGTTGATTAAGATAATAAAGTAAAAAACTTGTTCATACATCTAAGCTTGTTGCTGTCCTATGCAAAATTGCATAGCAAATGGGTACATGAAGCAGAATAAATCTTCTATGCTTATCAGCTTGACAAGTTGAGCAGCTATCATAAAATGTGAAAAGTCTCATGGTAAAGCTTTATTGTGCGGTCAGATTTTAAAAAATGGAAAATCCACAACTCAAGAAAGTTAAAATGCAACTCAAAATTCAGCTCTTTTCAATCAACATGTTCATTGCATGTTGACGTGCATAGGTTGACATGAAGAGAGTGCTTTAAATATCACTATATACAGGTCATAAATGGGATAGAGTGTAGAACTAAGCACTGGACTGTATGCAAGGCTGAGGTAGGACTTGACAACAATGTCCGTTTAAATAAGCGTATGGGTTGAGAGTGAATAGTAGTAGCATAACTCGGACCCCTCCACAAACAATTTTTCTAGGCTCCTCATGTTTGAGTGACTAATCAACGATCCCCCTTTTTTCCTGGGACGCAACATTGCCCCTCAACATATTTAACACCCTGAGCAGAATTTTTACACTTCTTTCAAAATTATTTTTTGACTAGATGAGAAAGAGTTTAAAAGGGAGAGGTTGAGAGCTCCCAGAGAAAATGAAGCTTGTTTAATATATATATATCTTGTTACAAGGTGGAGAAATGATGCTGGGTCCACACCACACCATCTTGCAGGGAAAACAAAGTGAGAAACTCCAATTTTTTTAGTGTTTTTTCTCGTATATCTTGTTATATATAGCTAAATCTCATCCTATTGTACTGCTACTTTTGATCCTGATATTCTAACTAATTTTTTTATAATCAGATGCCATTTCTTCCTAAAAATTTCCCATTTTACCGACTGGCATGCGTGGGCCACATTAAATACTAAACCTGCTTGTCAGTTGATGACATCCTGAAGGACAAAAAGTTAAATCATGAGACAAACAGTTTAATAACCACATAGAAGAGGTGGACTTGAACATTTCCTGGATTAAACTGTTTCTTTGGTACTCTGCATTTGAAATAAACAAAGCATCAAAACCTCCTAGTCATTACTAGTGCTCTTATTTATTATGGTATTAAGCTTCACCACAGTACCTTCATTTATATCAAGAATAATATTACTTCACTCAAAGGTCTGATAGGTGCTTCTTGCTGCTAATCTCATTTTAGAGAGGATATGTATTCCTCCAAGAAGCATTTTGCTCTAAAAGATTCTTATGCAAGTTGGAAAAAAATATTCGATGGCTAAACTCCAAAATCACGAATCTCAACTGCTATCTTCAAACATTTCTGATTATATCTTTATGTTAGCAGTTCTAGACAGTTTTAGGCATTCTGTATCCTCAGTAATGTAGTACCTTCAGACAACGTCATCTGCATATATCTTCTTGAGCCGTGCTGTGTTTAAATATTTCAAAAAATGAGTCCTTTAGAATCCAGGGTTCGGGAGAAACAACAATGCTCCCTCAAAGTTCAGTCTGTCTGCACTGCTGCCCCTAAAGCCTGTATCTTTACACCACTGACTGATTGACAGAACAAAACATTCATTTTGTTCATAAAGGAAAACTAAGAAAACCATACACATTGTCTTTTTAGAATTGCGTCAGGGCGTATTCAAGTAAAAAAAAAAGCTACTTTGCAAAATCTTCTTGTAAGACTGCGGAGTGTGATCAAAGTTGCACGATTTCTTTAAGTAATTAGGCTCAAAGAAATTCAGGAGAGACAAGAAAAAATTGTGGCTTTCCTAATTATCCCTGCCTTTGCAAAGGAGACCCTTGATCCCATATTTTCAGCACAAATTGAATAAAGTTGGGCAGTTATCTTTAAGCAGAAATACAATGAGAGTGAAAAATTTAGATCGTTAAATTACTGTTTGTTCCTTCCGACTTAAAACTTGCTTTGATGAGATATTTGTAATTTCTGCAAGTAAACACTTTCAGTACTTGTCATTGAAAGATCTTACCATGCATTGCTAGGGGCTAAGTGATTAAAACATTAGTTGCTTAGTGACTCAAGTTTTCCTCCCTGAAAGGCTTCCATCTTTTCTTCTCTTTTAAGATTAACATTATAAAAGCACCATAAAAACACTGAACACTTTCACCTGCATGCGATCTTGAAAAATGTCTATCTTTCATAGAAACTAGCTATGAAATTTTGGATAAACGAACTCTCGATATAAATAATTTGCATATGCCTACATGATATTTCAGAGAAAAATCCAGAAATATGAGGGTGGCTTGTGAGCTGTATTGTATTGATACTTAAGTTTCTTTAAAGTTCAGAATGTAATTTATTTTTACTGGTTTTTTAAATTAGGTAATTCAAGCAAAGTTAGTACTTAAATGAAGGTAGAAATATTACCTTCTCATGATGTTTTTCACACTAAATAAGTGTCAACAAACATTGCACTTTAATAAAATAACACTAAATATTTTGGAAAACTCTACCTGCATCACAGCAACTTTTCTGCAGCATCACAGCAATGAGGTCAAATGTCAAGGGGCCATTTTCTTGAACGAAGCGAAATGTATAGATTTATTTTAGATAATACATGTTTGAATCCAATTTCCTGGTTAATATTTCCGCGGTAGGTCGAGTTTTTCAACCTTATCCTGTAAAAATTTGAAAAAATGGAAAAAATATTTTTAAAAAATTGAAAAAGCAGGGAAAACTTGGATTCGGTGCTACAATCATAATTATGAGAACACATTCAAAACAATCATAAAGTGGAATCAAAATATGGACAAAACTTATCAATACATTCTCTAAGAGATACTTACTTGCAAACTGATTAAAAGCAACATAGTACTTTTTCCTTCAGGTTTTTAGCCACTCATAACTCCACATATTTAGTAACATGAAATTACATCTCACTCACCTCATAAGAAGTCTCATGAACTTTTCTCATGTATCCAGAGGACATCTCCAAAGTCGGCTACAGAATCTAAGTTTGACCCCCAACTGATTTAAATTATGAAAGAACTTTCTGCAGTATTTATATTTATTGATGAGAAATTATGAAATCATGGTGCCTTCGAAACATTAACACTGAATTGTAACTACCTTACCGGAGAACCTCCGCGGTTGGCAGTACTAATCAGGTAGTTGCCACTATATGCCATCACAGAGCGGTAAATTTTTTCTTTTTAAAAAATATATTTGCTTGACGAATACAGTTGGAAAAAAATTGTAAGCTGGAAAGAAAAAAAAACTGGGATCTCAGCTCAGGAAGCACTTTCATAAGAACCAATGAAATTTTCTTGTGCTAATTCTCAATTCTTCTTTTGATATGACAGGGCCTGGCACTGACAAAAGATTTCACTCTTAGATTTTGAAAGAGGAATGCTTCATTTCCTCTGCGGCTTGCTTTCATATGATTTTACTTGAATGCACAAAAAAATTGAAAAAAAAAGAAAATAAAAAGAAAACCACAACTTTCAAGATCTGGCCTCGCCTTTCATAACTTGCACTCTCTGAAATTTTTCCCCCTGATCCCACCCCCTCAGAATCGTCCCTGGTTATTGACAAGCAACTTATTGGATTATCTTTACCTTATGCTTGATGTAAGACAAATACACATTATACAATGTGGTTAAGCCGTTGAGATAGATCACTCTGTACTTTGAGGGCAAGAAGAAGAAATTGATGAATTGCGTCGGAGGCCATACAATCCAATCTACCTGCAAATGAAGGATTAAGTGAGTGAAAGAATTATACGATGTACTTATACTATCTTTACTGAAAAATGTTAGCTCTTGGATTCATTCTGTGCATTTCGGAAGGAGACATTCCTTTTAGTGGGGCCGATAAGTGGAAAATATCATAAGAATCGTGCACTTCTGGAAGAAAGCATGAAAATTTCAGGGATTCATCTCTACCCTATAGACATTCGATTCAGACATAGACCCCAAAAATCTGAGCCCCCTGGGGGGGCCCCCAAATTTTGAATTTTGAATAACTACTGAACGGCTAATGTTAGCGTAATTTTTTTTAAGCAGGACGATAGGAAATTTTATCAGGAACAAAAATGGTTCCTATGAATTTTTCTATGGGATCGATATTTAAGGCGTGAAACGGGAAAAACCATCGGGGGATGGGGAGCCGGCCGTTCTGAGGCAGATCCGCGCGCTGCGCTGTTTGCCCGGGACGCGCGCGGCGGCGCAGTACAAGGTGTTACCGACGAAACAGCCGCTTGTCTTGGTTTAATCTCAACGATGCGCAGTTTTAAAAATAATAATGCATTTAACGTACTGCCTAAATACTTTTCCTCAGTAATATAAGCTCTAATTTTTATTAGTAATACATAAAAGCAAGCAAAAGCGAAATACTCCAATGTGAGAGCGCCGAGTCAATAGGAGGGATCGGTCATCGCGCATCACGCGTCTTGTTTTCTCTGAATGCAGAGCTTTTCCGACCTCATTACAGAGTAAATTACCCTTTCCTCACGTAAGTTTTGTACAGGATTACATTTTTTTTTAAGATATTAGAGCGAAATAACAAGTTTTAATACGATTTTGACCCACTTTTTCATGAATATTGGAAATGGCGGATCCTTCGTAACTTATTTTTAGCTTATTTTTCATGTTACTTTCGGCGAATAAGACAATGAGCTGCTTACATAACCATGAATTTTGCAAAACTTGGTAGAGACATTAATTGAAGAGTGAGAAGGGAGGAGAGGGGGGCTCCACAGTCCCTTCGCCACTATAAGGTTACCAGATCTCCTTCAAAATGAAGGAAATATCGTTTTTCGTTCATGTTCATTGGTTTCTCGCCATTGGATAGGTACTGATTCATACGGAACATTCCGACAATGTTCTTTTCTCCTCTTTTTCCCTCCAGCCAGTCAATAGAAGTTTTCATTTTCATGAACTCCCCATTTTTTCAGTTATTCAACAAATATGCATATTTCAAAAAAAAATAGAACAATACATAAAATAAATGATAAAAAAGAAGCTATCTGAATACTATCGCCTCTTTTTATCGAGTCATCCTTGAAGATATTATTGGTACTTACCACGACACATAGAAAATGGAATGAGCAGTAAGAAAAATCCATGTATATTATCTTACATTTTGTTGTATGGAATTTAGAGTGGAGTTGGTAGCATTTGTATTGAAAAAAATATTAATATAGGAGGAAATTTATTTATCATGCAGGTTCTGATTCATTAAAGAACCTCTGAGAAGGACCAGGCCTCAGGAAGAAATTCATTGCATTTCTTCTTTTTCAACCCGCAAATCTTGTACCGATTTTTGATTTGTATGGAGCTCATGGAAGAGTTCTAGGTAAGTATGTCGGAGACAATTTTAAAGAAACGGGACTTGCAAAATGTGCAATGCACAAAACGTACACCTTAAACTTTATCGTACATTATAACACTGATCGAATTAGCTTTAGAGATTATCAAAAGGTTAATTTATCGTCAAAATATAAAAAATCAGTCAAAATCAGTAATCAGTAATCAGTTGCAAAATTACCGAGATTGCGGAATATCGTACCTATGATGCGCTGACATAAGAGCAGGATAGGTTCCCAGTACTTAGGCGCGACTTCCTATCACTCAAATGGACCGTTTTGACAGATTAGCGGATACGGCGGCTAGTTATTAATAATTACTCAATAATAATATTCTTTGTACTGTACAAGAAGCAGTCCAACAAATGTTTTTTGGGAGTCATTCATCCCTATCAAGCTTTCTCAAGATTCTTTTGCCGTTTTTTTGGAGCAAGTTTTGAAGGTGGTTTTGGTCCTCTTAAAAAAATGCCTATACGTAGAAATGATGTACCAAAATGTTCCTGAAAGAGAGGAGAATAAGCATGTTTTTATGTATGCTCATTGTTTACAAAATTAGGCTCCCTGTCTTAAGTAAGCATGTTTAGATACCATCCTGATGTCGCAGCACCGAGAGAAAGAGAAAGAAAAACACTTTAAAATCATTTTTCAGGTCATCGTGGTACACAAATAAGATTTGTGACTTTTAGCCCCCCCCCCCCTTTCCCGAGACAACTGTGCCTCAGATTTTATTCCGTTCAACTGATGTCTGATGCAGTTATCTCGAATGCTGTAATAAAACTAGACAAACCCATACAACAAAACAATTCGGAACTTCAGCACTTAACCCCTTCTCTTTCTGTTGCCGTGCGCTCGCTTGTATACATATATTACCTGCATAAGTTAAGCCCTTTTTTAAGGCTTTATAGGTAGTACGATATATTCACAATAATTTTAAAACTGCGCATCGTTGAGATTAAACCAAGACAAGCGGCTGTTTCGTCGGTAACACCTTGTACTGCGCCGCCGCGCGCGTCCCGGGCAAACAGCGCAGCGCGCGGATCTGCCTCAGAACGGCCGGCTCCCCATCCCCCGATGGTTTTTCCCGTTTCACGCCTTAAATATCGATCCCACAGAAAAATTCATAGGAACCATTTTTGTTCCTGATAAAATTTCCTATCGTCCTGCTTAAAAAAAATTACGCTAACATTAGCCGTTCAGTAGTTATTCAAAATTCAAAATTTGGGGGCCCCCCAGCCCCCCCAGGGAGCTCAGATTTTTGGGGTCTATGTCTGAATCGAATGTCTATAGGGTAGAGATGAATCCCTGAAATTTTCATGCTTTCTTCCAGAAGTGCACGATTGTTATGCTTATCGGCCCCACTATTTAGTGTATACGGGTCTTCCCGGAGTCAAATCAAAATTCTTCAAATTTTGTCATTATCCTGTGGTGCATTGTGTGTGGGTTGTAGTGCTTGCTCTATGAGCAGGAAGTCCCAGTTTCAATTCCCAGGCCAGGTGACCTGAGTTTGATGGTCTCAAACAACGGTTACCTGGGGCTGGCTTGATTAGGGGCTGAGGGTGGATGGGACTTAATGGACTGCAAGTATTGTCCCCTCAAGGATTTGAAGTGGGGAAAAAAAATTAGCCTCAAAGTACTTATTCTGGTTACAGTGAAGTATTAAAAATTTCTGTCTGATAAAACCTCTTTTTCTTTATGTTTGGGGGAAAACTTCAAAAGTTGAGGAGAGGACCTCAAAACTCCTCCAGCTGGAGAGCTCCACCCTCCAGACCTCTCCTCCCCTAGGATTGATGAGGATTTAAAGAGGGTAGCATCATTCAGATTGCGCCTGGCCTGAGGACTCAAAAATAAAAAATAAAAAAACTGGCCCTGGTATCAGCCATCAAGATAGAGATGGAGAGTGAAGAAAGTAAACATACCAGATAAACTTGTAGAAATTTATGCCGCAATTCATCATTTGCTTGTGCCAATGTGTGGTTTTCAATGTAGGCTGATCCATAGAAGAAGGTGACTATATATACAGGGGAGGCTATCAGCTGATCAAGTAGCAGCTTTTTCGAAACCGAAAAAAGATCTCTGCCTGGGATAAAGCGATCCAAATACATGTAAAATACATGTTGAATGGGTCCAAGTATTATGCCCACCATTGCCATATTCACTGAGGAAAGAAGAATGAAAATGAATACATTGCACAGGCAAACTGAAAAAAAAATATCAATTAGGGACTAAAAATCAATCCACCAACATACTTCTGGGACATGTGAGGTTTGAGAGCAGTACTTACAAAGTGAAATCAGAAAACTTGGCATACAACTTTGCTATCTCTTTTTGCAAGATAACCATTGAACGTCCACAATCTTATAGATACCATAGGTCGACACTTTGAGCTAAAAATTAAATAATTTGTCACTTTGTCGGTGCAAAGGATAGAAAAGAAAAATTCCAAACTCCTTCTTTCTGAGGTATGTTTTACTTTGAAATGAGGATAAACAAGTGCGCCCAATCAACACAAAAGCAGATGAGCTCCAACTAAGAAACACTCAGTTCTAGAAAATGTGATTCATTAGAGCATGCGATATAATTGTAAATCCTCTTCGAGACATGACAATTGCTTATGCCAGAAGAAACATAAAAGTATCTAGCTGCAATATTGCTAAACTCCACTCATCTTTAATTGTTTAGGAGAAAACTGGTTTACCTTAAAATTTTTAGTGAATTTTTTGCATTTCAGTAGGTAAAACAACGACTTACTGGATCGAACAGCATCGTGGCTCTCATTTTCATGGAAACCTCTGTACGTTTCAATCTGTTGTTGCATGCTATCACCCACAGCCATTAGGATACCACTGCTGACTGTATTTGTCACCAACAAATACTTTCCGAAGCATTTTTTGACCACGGTTTTGATGATACCCATACTGAAATTAAAATAGGTATAGGGTGGTTGAAACTCAAGACATTCAATTTTAGAATACTGAACACTTTCAGCTTACATTGCTTACAGGTTTACATTGAGGACTTGGATACAATGAATTACGAGTATACTCTTTAAAAACTGAACGCACGGTCGTGGCATTAAGAAGAGACTAAGACTCCTAATAGAGTTGAAAGGTAACTGCTGCCGGAAGGCAAAATACTGAGAGATTCTCTTGACTAGTATCATAGTGAATGTTAGTAATGACACCTGAGATAAGCTTCATAAAGATGCTATAATTTCTGTCACACCTCGCTGAACACTTCACGATAAGAACCCATCGTCTTTGCATTTTTATTTTTCAACAAATTAATAACAGAACTCATGATGGAAACACAGAGACAAATCGAGTGAAAAATACTGCATGAATAATGATAAGAGATAAGAATACGAAAACAAAACAGTGGAACTGCAAGTAACAAGTATAGCTACTACCTCATCCACAAACATTCAATAAGTAACTGATTATGTTTTTGAAATTCCCAATACACCCAAGGAGAGCAAACATTGCAAATTGCATACTCTTTAAACTGAAGGAAATCGTGTTAAGCTTTTCGCTTGCTTAAACAATCAGTCTCTTGCTAGGCAAAATAATGCATTATGCACTGAATGCACTTTAATTCACGATCTAGGAAGCTTTTTATTTTATGGGGTGTGCTTTCCGGCGAGAATTTTAGTGCTTTTCCTTCCCCTCACTTCCTCCATAACCTGCGCAACTCAGCAGCTTTTTCAATGCCAAGTACTCAGCTGTTCGGTAACCAAGGCTAACGATTGTAGTCCCCTGCTTCTCTCGCCAAATTCGTTCGTTACGCGAACGAAAAACCGCTACGTACGCCCGAATTCGTCAATGGTTTTTAGATTTCAGTAACCGTTAGTGTCGGAATTTAGAGTCGGCTGTAGTATTTGTGAATTTCAGCCAAAATGATAACAATTGTACCGAAGACCATTCAGTAAGTAGATTCGTACTTTTGCTCTCTTCTTGCCCTAATTTGCAGCTTGCAGTGTGCGAACTATAACCCATTAACCTACATCCAGGATAAGCTGATTGATCTAAATTTAAGCTGCACCCCGTTCCCCGTTGATGTGTGTAGCTTTATCATTGAAGGCTCCTTTCTTCTTTCAATGTTATTGAGCTGGGCAACATAACTATGCTATGGTTTCTCTTCCCAGTGCAATTTTGTCAAAGCAAACCTAATGAAGTTGCCGTGTTTACGGCCACAGAATATCTTATCTCTTTCCTCAGACAAAGCTTTGTTACCAAAAATTGAAGGAAATATTATGGAACGGCTACTGTGGCATAGCTGTTGTTTTTTCGCCGGAACATTCTGTTCGGCATTTTCCCATTCAGGCATGGCCTGTTTAAATCTACTCTTGACATCTATCAGCCTGTTCAAAAACTTTTGGACTGTTAATTTATCGACTTTCTTGAAAATGGGGGGGGAGGGGGTTTATTTTTGACTCTTAGGTTTTAAGTCAAATGGCACCTCAATTTGATGCATAAAAAACGAAAACAAAATTGTCGCAGAAAAATGTGCTATCCTCTTGCGCTAACTTGAGAAGCGCCTAAGTTTTTCAGAATTTTTACCCCCCTAATAATGTCCTGATCTCATGTCGGAATGTCCATCATCCATGACTACAGTTCTTCATTTTATAGTGTTCAGCACTGAATGCTCCAATTAAAAAAGTGCTGTGAAATTTGAAATTTGAATTTGAATGATTTATTTCATTCAAGTACAACAATAATCAAATTTTACGAAGATAAACACTGCCGGAGCAGAAACTTGTGGGGCAGGTTTAACAGCCACAACTTACAGATAGAACCTTAGTAAAAGACAATTAAACATAAAACATTACAACTTTCCCCAACAGACTGGGCCAAATGTTAACAACAAATACTAAGGTTTGAACGTCTAAGCATTCGAACCCCCAAACCTATTTTCATTAATTTCTGTTTCCTTCTTCCTTTTTGACACTGCCTAGGAAATCTTAAAGCACTGTGTATTGTTTTTTTTTTTGTCCTCTACTCCACTCACACAGAACAGTTCAGCTTACATTTAGAAAAGTCATTAAATCAACTCCCATCAAAAAAATGCCAAATGATCAATAACAATTGAATTCCAAGCCCTGAAGGAATAGCCTGATTTGGCTCTATCATTTTATCTGTTATTGCCTGCCCCTGTTATGAATTCCTGTTTCAGATAAGTTAACCTCTTTCAGCTGATTTTGCGAATACTCTAACTGCTATTGGTTGTGATGTATGAAAAAGGTCAAACTTACATGAAGCAGGGTCTATTTCGTCATCTTCCAGCCAGAGTATCACGAGCATCCTGCGACAGTATAAAATGTCCGCGGCCAGTTTATTTTCTTACAGAGAATTTGTTGGTTGAATCTGTTTGAAAATTTCTTTGAATTTTATCGGCAGCACGAAGAAAATTCAGTGAAATTTTTGGACAGCTTTATCGATCAATTTCTCCTTAAAAAAATAAGATGACAGTAGAAATTTTTAAATGTTACATGATGCTTGTGATACCTACTTTGGCCGGATGGTGAGGATTTGAGTTATGTGTTGATTTTCATGTCTAAAAAAGTTGATGCACCCTGTTAGTTTTTTCAAACTGGTAATTACCAAGTAGCAACACAGAGTGTCATAAGCACTCTTCTTGCGGCACGAAGTATTGTGAAACTTGTCTAGAATAGATATTTACCTATGTTGAAAGTATTTGTCATGAGAATGTATGTTTTTGTGTGCACTGTATGGTAAGGTAAATTCATTTTACCAACAGAAAAGAATGACATGAATTTTATAATATTCATTACGATACTACATAGTAAAAATATCTATTTCCGAAGAGAAAACAATCTATAATTTTATCTCTGGCCGCATATCTCTAGTTAGAAACCTTTTTCTTTATAAAGTTTTTTTTGATGTGCTTTTTTTACCATGAACTTAGTTTCCTCAGAAGGATTACTTACAACAAAAAGTCTTTAAACGAAGCATGATGAGTGGTGAATTGACTATTCGACGGTGTAAGTCGGCCATCACATAACTTGTTTGCGGTGTCTGAAAATCACCGCCTCTATGTTATTTTTTTAAAGGAGAACAAATTGACATCATTCCTTGAAGTTTTTACAGAATTTTATTCGCACAGAGAGGAATAATCAAGGCAGTTTTAAAGAATTGCTGTTGAATAGCTTTCCGTTTAAAAAATAAAGTGTGACAGGAAGTCTGCGACGTCGCAAATCGAGTTATGTGATTACCGACTTACACCGACATATCGTATCATCCTCATCAGTGCTGCACATCCACTTTTATTCTCGTGGACAAATATCAGGACCTACTTCTTCAACTTGATTTCTGAAATGCTCAATCTGGAATGAATTCTTTCAGGGTCACTGGGCTAAGTAGTCCTGTCCGAGGAGCTGCCAAGAAAGCTTTGTTGGCAAAACTTAATAAATTGACGGTCAGTTCCTCTAACATAGAACAGAAAGCATCTTACCATGAAGTTACCGGTGACATCATTTGTCCGTCAATGGTCCAGGGAATCGACCATATTCGAGACCCTCGACTTAACAAGGTAAAGTGTTTCTTACGATTTTAATTTCACTACTTTGGCCTAGCCTCTAAGTGCTGCTGATCAGCAGTTTTTTCTTGACATGAAGGAAGTTGGAAGCTTTGAAACAACCTGCCTGAATATCCAAGTGGATGATTTCAGATTTTATTGAAAAATCAGTCCTTTCATATTTTAAGAATCTTAGTATTTTTAGTCAAATAATTGAAAGATTTTAAATTTTAATTTCTTAAATGCAAGTAAGGGAATTGTGTTTCTTAAGGCTTTTTAATAATTGTTTTAAAACTTGTGCTGGAAAGGTTACCTTGGAGGTTTGGAGCAAACAGATTTTCAAAGGAGCTGAAAAATCTGCCTTATTTCTACGCAAACAATAATTCTCCATTCAACTGCTCTCAGAAAAAATTTAGGCTAAAATTCCCCTCAAATATGTAAATGAACTCAAGCATTTCATTGTTCTTGAGGAGCTTTCAAGGAATTTGGAAGCTGAGACAGGGTCTATGATTGTCTCACTTATCATCTTGGTTTTTGGAGGAAAATGAAAAATACCTGATATCCTCTTACCTTCAACTGGTGAATTTATCTGTGCCAATATTTTGATGACCCAGTCAGGGAAATGAGGAAATTTCTATTTCTTGAGATCAAGCCCGAAAATTTTGAAGTTTTTGGTCATAACTGGTTGCAAAGTATTGTTGGAAAATTTAAGCATAACACTCTTTTTCAAATTGATATTAACTTTATTCACCATCGAGGTGTGCTTAAGATAAATTACTGTTTAAGAAAAAAGGAACGATCTCCAAGAGTTCAGAGCATAGCTTTCAAAAAACGAAAAATGAGTGCAGCTTATCTGGATGCAATGCTACACCTCACCAACCAAAACTAGAAATGTATTGAAAGCAAAGTGCTTTGTTCGTACACACAGCACTACACTGTAGTAAGCTTTTTAAAATGTTCAGTATTATAGAAATAAGGATAAGATAAGAAGTGACCTCTTATCTAGAGTTCAGCTGCCCAATTTGTGGATGTTAAATTATAAAATCATTTTTTCGTATCATTCTGATCGAAATGGTTGCCAGTTTTAAATTATCATTTAAACTCGTGCTTTTCCATTGTCTCTCAAAAATGTAGGATAATATTGATTTCAAAAAACTAGATATTTTCTTTTTATTTTGGCTAGTGGCCCTATCCCTAAAATCCTGAAAATTACTCTGTTCCCACCGCTTTAAAATTACAAGACTTTGAGCTCTTAAATTCTATTTTAAGTATCTGTACTTAAGTAACTGTACTTTTAATTTTCAGGAAATAGGAAATTGTAAAATGAAATTTTTTTTTAAACAATTAGTTATTTATCTACAAAAGGGGTAAATTGACTGCTGTATCTGAAATTTTTGATTTTGCACATCTTGTGATCACCTTAACCTGCGCCCTGTCTGTAAATAATCATCTTCTGTCTCACATACATAAAATTAGAAGATAAGCATCTTAAAAGTGACCCACTCAAAAAAAAATTTAGTTAAAATCATGGAAGCAGTCGAATTTAAAAAAAAAAATAAAAAGATCATGAATCAAGCAGCTCAGTTTTTATTCTCAGTTTGGCATCAGCAAGACCATTTGAAGTACTTTCCTCATTTGAGAAGTGATGATGAGCTCGTTTTTCCTGATTAGAGTTTTGCTAATTAAAAGAATCACTACACAGTCATTTGTTAACTGTCTTGTCAGAGCGTGTCATGTGATAACTAGTCTCACACGAGATCTGCAACCTTGTTTATTTTCCAGTTAATCCAGCCTTCGTGTAGTAACTTTTTTTCTGTTCAAAGAAGTAGATTATAAAGGTGGAGCAAACTCAAACACCACCACCCACACTTTTATTGCATCAATTCTATTCTCCTTTACGATTGTTTTTAGAAATCTTCAGAACAGAATTATTTCTAAATTCTCTGTGAAGCCCTGTTTTTTATTTTATTTTTATCTTTTGGGATTTTTGGATTTTTGGAGGGGGGAAGGGGGGGATTTCTTTTATTACAACCGTTTAATTTTTCAGATAAGATTAATATTGGTCAACATATCATTGATGTTAGCTTTGTAAACAGTCGGAAAAGCTTTAAACGGATAAAAAATTAAGGGGGAAGGGATCCATTTCTCCCTGAAAAAACTTTAAAATTGTTCGCAAAACTTTAATCCTTACTTCATCATTGTAAAGTAGCATGCTGGCCGAGACACCCCTTCCTTAAGAAGTTCTGTAATTTTAAGGATAGCACCAAACAATCATTAACATCCATTATTACATACATTACCTTTAATTTACTATTTCTCACAAATGAGAATATATTTGTTTACATATGTCTTATTGTTAGTCGACAAGTACATGTATGGAATAGATTGTAAAGAGAAAAATATTGTCGATCATATTTTATAGAGGAATTTTTTTCATTTACTTATTTGGCTGAGGTAGCTTTTTTGTTTTGCTCTACCAACTGGCATCAAACCTCCCAAAACAATCTGGAACAGTCCATATTATTTTTTGTGCAAATCAAGCCTAACAAACAATGACCAAAAATCAATATACTATTCCATTCTATGATTTTTTTTTCAGGGTTTGGCTTTTACTCTAGAAGAACGGCAAGCTTTAGGAATTCATGGATTAATGCCTGGTCGCTTCAAAACTCAAGAACAGCAGCTAGAAGTTTGTCGTTTTAGTGTTATGAAATACCAAGAAGATCTCAATCGTTTCCTGTACCTCTCTGAATTACAGGTGTGCATTAAATACTATGCATCCTCTATTATAATCAGGTTTTTGATGTTAAGTGAGTTTTCTTCACCAATCATTAGGTCTCAACCTGGAGATTAAACAAGGCCAAGAATTGATAATAACGAAAATTTCATCTGAAATTTGCCTTAACTCCAAGGGACACTCCTTGCATCATATACTTAAATTCCAGTGGAGAATGAAGCTTTTTAATAAAAGCTCTTCATTTTTGCCGCCTTCCTCAACACATCTAAACTAAGGAAGAATGCTGTATAAGCATTCAAATGTTGTCAAGTTTCGTTACAAAATATTTTTCTTTCAAGGAAAGTCATGCATATTTTTTCTTGGAATTCTCAGATATTTTAGATTAAATCCTTAACAAAATTGTCTAAAAAAGTTGAAAAAAAATATACAGAATTTTTCCTGTCAATTCATTTACAATCAAAAGAGATATGGCAACGTCTGAAGACTCACACTGCGTTTCTCCTTAGCATAGCAGAACACCTCTTGTGCAGTTAGGGAATGAAACAGTAACATGGTGTGATCAAGACGTATTCAAGGTTATTTTATGATTGCAGATAATGGGAGGAAGCTCTGCCATGCAGGTTTTATCCTCGGACAATCACTTCAATCTTAATTTGATAAGTACTCAACACTGGGTATTGATGCTATTCCCCACAGACCTTTCCTTTATTGTGCTACAAATTTGATTAATCAAACAAAGTGTCTGCATGACTAAATCAGCAAACCTGATTCCCATTAAAATTTTCCATATTCCTTCTATGATAGAAACTTTTTGAATTACTTTAATGAGTATTTCCAATAAGCAGACATTTTTGTCGCACCTTTACTTAATGTTGCCCACATTTGATGTGATCTAAAGCGATCAAGAGGTTTGCCGTTGCTCTTCTAACTGAAAATTTATGCTCTTCTAACTGAAAATTTATGCTCTTTTTTTGTCTCCAACCTTTCACAGCTTCCTCTCATAAGCTTCTCTGCTCATTTTCAATTTCTTCTTCTTTTGGGCAAGTGTCTACTTTGGAGACCTCAGACATTTTTGTTGTATTTATCATTTTTCTTTTCTTGTTTTTCAGGATCGAAACGAACGATTGTTTTTCCGACTATTGTCAGAAAATGTTGAGACACTCATGCCAATTGTCTACACCCCTACTGTTGGTCTGGCTTGTCAGAAGTTTGGACTGATCTATAGAAGACCGAGGGGGCTTTTTATCACGATTAATGATAAAGGACACTGCTTTGATCTCCTTAAAAACTGGTAATTTTTTTACGAGAGTAGGTATTTTTGGCCTCATTTTTTATCTCTAGGGTAGCTAAGCTGAATCTAGACATTTTCAGTTGATTATATGATGTAAGTTTGATGGGTGCGTCAAATATTTTCAAATCTTTGGGCAGGTTTAGGTGCATCTAAAACTAGATTCTTTGTCAACAAGAAATACTGCAAACGCTGGGAATACGACTCACTTGATCAAATTTGAAGGGTTTTTAACAAAAATTAAATTTTAATGTATAATTTTTAACTATGCATAATAATAGTAGCTTGTTTAGTGTTAGTAAAATTGGTTAACTTTTATAGAGTATGAATTTCATACATCATGGGCCACATGGGTCAATTTAATTGACTAACATTTTTTAAACTCTACAGAGTTTCTCACCTGGATTGATTGGTAAAAACATAATGTATGCCTTATTCTGAAGTCATCAAGGACCTTAGGCTTGGTGTGAGGTTTTTCACATGTATAATTTCTGCCTGCTTTTCATATGTTTCTGTTTAACCTTAATCATGCAATTCAAGACCCTTAAGAATTGTCTAAATTGAAAAAGTAGAGGTACACCTGCCTGAATTGTTTCAATATCTCTGTTTACGTTTAGTTTTTCAACAAAAGAGTAAATAGGAAATTGAATGTTGTTTTTGCAATCAGAATTCCTGCATGAAATACACTGAGATTATCCGGAAATAGCGAATTAAGAAGTTACCCCCTAGAAATCAACCCCAGTTCCAAGCAGCAACAATGAATTGTATATCTTCATTGAAACGAAGGATGATGAGAAATTATGAAGCTGCAAAAGAAGAATCATGTTTATTTATTTGTATGATATGTATTCCTAAACAATTTTCCATCTATTATGTTTTTTTCAAAGGAAAAAATGAACTGTTGAAGCATGTCTAAATGGTCTGCTTAATCAGTTTTTACTCTTAATACATTTTCACTCTGAACTGAAATAATGTTGTGATGAATTTATCAGTCTTCATGAGATTAGTCTTTAAATAATTATTCCATTATTTTATTTTTTACATTTTTTTATGCGGATACTAAGTTTGCTTGGTTTGCTAATTTGGTTGGTTTAATGTGCTGTTAACAAAAGCCTTTCCCTAAAATACTTCATTTGAGGTAGTGCATGATGGTTATTTTGGTTTTGGGTACAGGCCGGAACCAGATGTACGAGCTATAGTTGTGACTGATGGTGAGCGCATTCTTGGTCTTGGGGACTTAGGTGCATGCGGTATGGGTATTCCGGTCGGAAAGCTCTCATTGTATACCGCCCTCGCCGGCATCAAGCCACATCAGTGTCTACCTATCACTCTTGATGTTGGCACCAACAACGAAGTGAGTTCAGCCATGATTTGTGTGTGTGTGTTTCATTACAACGGTTAATAAGTCTCCCATTCTCACAATCAAAAGTCACACTGGAAAGTTGGCGATAATTAGAAGGCTCGTAGATCTTCTAAAATTTGTGTGGTTAAATTCAATGAGGTACATTTTCATGTGTATTGATTAAGAGGTGTCCAAGAATTTCCTACAATAGTTCGGGGGCTGAGCATTCACTAATCACATATATTTGCTTGCACTTCCTATCCTGTAGTGACCACGGAGTCCCCCTATGAGGTGTACAAATTTGGATTACGAGGTCTGTTAGATAAGAAACCAGATTGGTGACAACTAGCCCATCATGCGTCCAAATTAAGTTTCCTTGGACTTTCTTGATAGTTGAAAATATACTTAAGAATGCTACATTCACAAATTTTAAAAATCTTAATTAGCTTTGTTGGTACCGGGTTTGAAGTAAGGCAACCTCATGGGTGTTCTGCGATTTTCATGTTTGACCAAACTTGTCGCTCTTTTTTCTGTCTTTCACTATCTTTTTCAACCCACACAGATGGTTGAATTTTTGTCTCCATATCGTAGCCATACACCCAAGTTTTGTCACCGAAATTATCATATCCAAATATGTAGGATCATTGTTAGAACGCTCAATAAGCTCAAGGAAAATTTACACTTGGATTTTTACTCGGATTACTACGGATTTTTGTTCAACAGACAACAGTCACGGGACAAGTTTAGTTGAAACTCGATGCATGTGTAAATATTCTATCAAAATTTTATGTACAAAGCCTTCAGAAATAACACACTGTTCAGCAAGCTTGAAACAACCATTTTTGAGCACTTATGCCCCCACTTTTTCCACGTGGCAAATGTCAGGTGCCATCGATGGTCGATTCCCGTGCTCCTCATCTTCGACGGACTCCTGACCAGTTTTGAACTGTTTAAACCGCTCAAAGCACTGAGAATAATTCATACAATGATCTTGGTAAACTTTACTTAGCACACCAAAAGTTTTGATACAAGGCATACCGAGTTCAAAACAAAAATGATAAATCTTTTCTCTATCAGTGATTGCATGATGAAAACCGCAGAATGCACCTGAGTGACTCATATTCACGGTAACGCAGAATGAACACTGATCAAAATAAACAAAATCCGTGAATGTAGCATCATTCAGTATGTTATCAGCTGTCAGGAAAGTCCAAGGAAACCTGATTTGGACGCACAATGCACTAGTTATCACGAAATCTTTGATTAATAATCAAGGAAAATCCTTAATCCCCCTATCTAGTACACGGAAGATATATTTTAGTTCGCAAGATGCACTTGGCTACAACAAAAATATAAATATTTTGCTTATGCATTAATTTGTCAAAAGATCTCTTGAACTTTTTTGAGGAAGATTATTTTCCCCTCTGTAGGTGGACACCAGACAAGGCAAGAAATTTAAAACTACAACACTGTTGTCTCCTCAAAATTTCTTGTAGATAACAGTGGCAAGGTCAAATATTTCCAAATTGAAGTCAAAGTGAGGAATCAGTGTTTCCTTCATTCATCAATTTGAACTTCCTGCTTACTGAAAAACTAAAGCCTACCTGTATCTAATTGGCCACTCAACTAATTTCAGTTTTCTTAAAATTTTCTCCGGGTTGAATTTTTATCTCCACAAGTTTATACATATGAAGTAAATTTTTGTAGAATCCAACATGATGAGTCTGTTTTTGTTGTCAGAGTCGACCTAATCTAACCTAACCTTTGGACCAAACTATATTTCGAGTTGTTTCTAGTTTAAAATGTGTGAAAAATCATAATGGATTCATTGCTGAAGTCTTTAATGCACTCCTAACTTACAATGTTTTTTTCCCCTTAAACAAATTGATTTTGAGTTTTCTCTTTCAGGTGCAATTAGCTTATATCTGTAATATCCTTATTTGTCTTCTTTTTTCTTTGTGTGTATTAATTCTGGTGTTCCTATTATTCTACATCGCAGAAGCTCCTCAACGACCCACTTTACATTGGTCTCCGGCAGAAGCGTGTTTTCGGGCCAGAATACGATGAGCTTGTCGACGAATTCATGGAGGCTGTTGTCAAACGCTATGGTCAAAATACACTCATTCAGTTTGAAGACTTTGGAAACCATAATGCATTCCGCTTCCTCGACAAGTACCGAGACAAGTATTGTACTTTCAATGATGACATTCAAGGAACAGCTGCAGTTGCCGTTGCAGGACTCTACGCTTCTCGAAGAATTACTGGCAAAAAAATGTCAGATTGTAAATACTTGTTCTTAGGTGCTGGAGAAGCTGCGTTAGGTAAGTTCTTTAAATCACATTAACATTTTAGCTTTGCAAATTTTGTCAAGATGTTTCTTTCTTTTTTTTCTTTTTTTTTTTAAAAAAAAAATCATAAATTAAATCTATATCATAAATGATCTGAAAAACTTGTCATGAAAGAAACTCATTCTCTGCTAATACTTAATTGAGCTAGTAAGTGGTAAGTATGAAGGAAATAAACTATGTTGAAGAGTCTTTTTACTGCAAGCAATGTATCTCCTCTGTGGAATAAATGTTGGAGTATGCTCAATAGTTCGCTCAACACATCTAGCAACTTTAGTTTGGATTTTCAGAATTAGTTGATCCTTTTTTTTCATTAGATGAAAGAAAGATTTCCTGCTATTTCTCCACCTATCAAACTGCTAACAACTTTGAAAACTGTCTTACAACTGACATGTTTAATCTCTCTGTTGTTTGTCCATTAGGTATTGCCAACTTGTGCGTTAAAGCCATGCAGACTGAGGGCTCAACTATACAGGAGGCAAGAGATAAAATTTGGATGATGGATATTGATGGATTATTGGTAAAAGATCGTCCAGAAGGAGGCCTCCATGGTTATAAACAGTTCTTCGCCAAGGACCACAAAGTTATGAAAAATCTAGCCGATGTAGTCAAAGAAATTCAACCATCAATATTAATTGGTAAAATATAAATTTATTTATTTAACAAAATACACATGGGAAAACCTCCTCACAAAAAATATGAATTACAGTCTTTTCTCTCTGTAACAACTATCGTTATAACGAGAATCTCTCTGTAACAACTATCGTTATAACGAGAATCTCTCTGTAACAAGGAAAGCGGTCGGTCCCTTGAATTTCCTATATTAAATATCCACTATTGTCATAATGAAAATCTCTCTATATCGAGGAAATCGGCCCATCCCTTGTGCTCTCGTTACAGAGAGAAAGTACTGTATTAAAAGTTTAACACAATTGCTACTTAAATTATGTGAGTTTTCCATTTTACCAGGTTTGATAAAGGTTATTACCTGATTTATTTTTTCGTCCTGGTTATCTTAATTGATTCTTCTATTCAAGTTGCGATGTACATTTCGGAACACCTTATTCCATCTTCAGGCCACACATATTTCACTAGCACTATAATCCTTGTGCGCGTTCGAGTTTCAAGATACTTTAAAATGTTAAAAACCGGAAAATAAAAATAAAACTACACGTAGACTAAAATTGACTGTGAACTGCAAGAGGCGCGACCAATCTATTGATATATCGGTAAATCATATCAATATATATCAATATATATATTGATATATATCAATAAATCGGTCGCGCCTCGTGCAGTTTACAGTCAATTTTAGTCTACGTGTAGTTTTATTTTTATTTTCCGGTTTTTAACTTTTTAAAGTATCTCGAAACTCAAACGCGCACAAGGATTATAGTGCTAGGGAAATATGTGTGGCCTGAAGATGGAATAAGGTGTTCCGAAATGTACATTGCTACTTGAATAGAAGAATCAATTAAGATAACCAGGACGAAAAAATAAATCAGGTAATAACAATTGCTACTGTTTTTGCCCCAATTTTTTTAAGGAACAAGAAAAATGCCTGCAAAGGAAGTGCATCGCTCAGGTTTGTCCCAAAATTAGTCTCTCCTGATTTTAAAAAAAATACCAAAGTCAAGGAAAGCTCATCCTGTAAAAAATTAATCGCAGGTAATCAATGCTTGGGGGTACAGAAAATGCCCAATAACGCGCCTGCCTGGTCTCCTGGAAATGTGGGAAAACCCTTTAAAATTAAGAGTACTTATGTATCGAAACAGATACTAGTTAAATCATCCTGATTAGTGCTAAATTTCTTAGCATTCAATATTAAAATCTCATAAGTTGAAAACAGTTTCTACTTTTTAAGTTGGAGGGAAAGTTAAGGGAGATTGTTGCAAAAAACTTGGAAAATTATTTTAAGGGTGTGTAAAATATAAAAAGCTGAAATGTTATTGTGCCTCTGATACACGTGTATAGATTAATCACCTGGTAATTTTTCTAACTCCTTAAATATTGTATGCCAGGCATTTTAATCTCCTTCCTAATATGAAATTCGTCCTGGAAATCTTTTATGGAAACATTTTCATTCATTATCATTTGCTTTACTGCAAACTACCGCCAATTTTCAAAGATATTTATAGAGCTTGCTCTTGTAAGCTTGCTATAAAGTTCCCCTCAGAATAATGAAGAAAAGTAATGCTGAACGGTTTTTCTCTTCTGTGCAGGTGCATCCGCTGCAGGTGGTGCTTTCACGCCAGAAGTCTTAAGTGATATGGGAAAGTTCAACGAACGTCCCATCATTTTTGCTCTGAGTAACCCAACCAGCAAAGCTGAATGTACCGCTGAGCAAGCGTACACCCATACTGAAGTGAGTGTTTCATCACAACCTGTTATCTTGAAAATCCATGCACTTAATATTTATCTTTATGTCAAGTCTATTGCTTCTGGAAACCATTACGTTCAGTTTGAAGGTTACCTTAAAATACGTGGAGGCAAGGGAGTTTCAAAATCTCAAGCAAATATTCAGGAAAGTTTATATTTTTCATAAGCATCGTGCAACTTTGATTCATCCATCTCATGCGCCGAGATTGATCTCTGGAGAAAGTATTTCGTTGTTTCCCAGACGAAGAAGTGCAACCCCATTCCAAAGTTGCAAAATAGACTCAAACAATAAACTTTTTTCTACTAATGTTCCTGTGCAATTTTTCTCCAAAATTGTTGATTATTGCATGAGATTGAAAGAAAAATCAGTGAAATTCTCAGTCACAAATGCCCAAGATTCTTTTGATAAAGCTTTAATTTGTTTGAGAAAATTTGGAAACATTGAAATGTAGTTGCGTTTTTTGGGAGGAAAACAGTGCTTTATGTATTGTTTCTCATGAATGCAGTAATTGTAGATTCCCTTAACAGAGAGAGTTGAGACAACGCAGCTTGTGGATGTCACAAACGGGAATAAAGATTACGCAAATAGGACGTTTGCTGTAATCTTTGATCAACCCATTCCTGAATTTCTGTCTCCGTTCCCACTCTCATTTCATTTGTTCCTTGCCGTACCTCCTATTCCCCGGTCCATTCCAGTTTATAATCTATGCAAATTGTGAAACTGAAATCTTTTTTCCCGTTTGTGACACTGTGAAGGCTTAAAATACGGGAACAAATGAGAAATGGATTCGCATTGTCTTTGCTCGCAGTATAAAGAGATTAGGGACTCTAAGTAATTGAAGGAAGCCAGCAGCAAATATTTCTTTCATTTTTTATTAACTCTCCAATTTTCGTGAACAGGGTAGATGTATTTTTGCCAGTGGCTCACCATTCCCACCAGTTGAGTACAATGGAAAGAAGTTCTTCCCTGGTCAGGGCAACAATGCATACATCTTCCCAGGAGTAGCTCTTGGTGTTATTGCTGGTGGTTTACACCATATTACTGAGGATCTTTTCCTGATCTCTGCTCAAGTATGTATTTTCAGAACAGAATATTTTGTCTCACTTTTAGTCCTAACGGTCAACTACGGTAAAATAACCAGCAAAGGAAAATCCTGTGTTGTAATGCGAGTTGTAAACAACAGAAAAGTGTGACTTATTTCGGTTATGTTAAAAAATCAGCAGAACTGAGGTTACTTTTGTGTTGTCGCCAATACATGTGGTGACAAATAACAGAACTTATGATTGTGACAATGTCCTTATTGTAACTGGGTGAATTTGCCAATTTTTTGATGCAAAAGTTGAAATCATACCACAGAAAATGAGTGATTTTGTCCATGTAAGAAATACTGCTAAATTTGTGCAAAGTCGCGTTTGTAATGTCTGTTCCTTTAGCAGCAGTTGAATTCTCTTCATTGAAAATAAAATCTAAGGTATACAGTCTTTAAAACTTACATGTGACCTTGCAGATTCATTCAAAAACTGATCTATTAAATCAGTACCATTTTTCAAAGTTTTTTTTCAAAAACAATATTCAGTACGCTTTGTTTTGTTCTGTACTGTCAGTTCTCTTATGATCAGTATTCCTGTATTTTCTACTCGAAAATCAAGTTTCTTATTCCAAGTTTCAAGCAGATTTAAAATCATATTGTGTCTCAACCAATCTTACAACCAACATGGTCAAATGGACCACATTTTGCAATTAGGATCTAAAATTTCTGGCTCAGTCTAGAAACTATGTATGTACCATTTGTTTGCCCATGTGTATAAGTGGTTTTATAGATAAGCCAGAAATTTTAGTGACAATTGCGAAATGTAGTCCGAATATTCCTTGAGGGGAAAAACACACGCCAACACACATCGTGAGCTAGAACATCCTCATTGTTTCACACTGGTTTTTTTGTTTGTCAATCTTCATTTGTGGATCTCAAGTTACACATCCTATTTTTTCCAGGTTGTTTCGGATTATGTGACGGAAGAAGATATCTCAAAGGGTAGTTTATACCCTCCATTGGGTAAAATCAAGGAATGCTCCGTAGAAATCGCTGAAAAAATTGTGACCTATGCATACAGTAAAGGTAAGTGATTCCTTGTGGTTTTGTGGATGTAAGACATTGTAATCTTTGAAAAACGATTAAAGCATAAGATAATTTTTTTTCCTTCCATCAGAGATAAACAAAGTTTCTAGGGCTGTGCGAATTTTCGAATATTCGAGTTTGAATAATTTTTCCGATATTCAATTCGAACTTGAACTTAGAAACCTCAAATAATCGAATTATTCGAGAACATTGACAAAACTTCGAATATCTAAAGAAAAAGACCGAATACTCGTACATTCGGCCATATTGATGACGTACTAGAAAGAACTCGAACAGACGCGCAGTTCAAACTACTTGTTTTGAGGTTAGGTAAACAAAGGCCAACTTTTCATTGATTCATTCAGCGCACGGCACTCGCGGACTCGCATTATTAGACGGGTCAATTCAAAATTCGCGCCACTTGAGTTCCTCCGAATATGTCATTAACATGGCGTACAAATGGGCGTATGTACTGATCTCCATAACCTTTCCTCCTCCGCCTCGCGCAGTACCATGGTCTTCACAATGTTGCTGGACTATCTTTGCAAGATCAGCATTGATGTGCAGTATAACAGAATAAAATGGATTTTCGGACAGTAAGCAGTAGTTTTACTGTTTCACGGCAGTTCAATCAATTGCTTGCTCTTAATTAAAGGAAACAATCTTCTCTCCCTTTTATTCTTTCCCCAGCAAATCAAAATGTATGCAAAACCATTTGATAAATAAATAAATTGATTAATTCGTTATCTTCTTATCTATAATAGAAATTTCTTTATTCAAAATTTGAATTTTAGGAAGAAAAGAAATTATTTATTCGATTTTTACTTCGACTAACACAGAGGTTGGTTTTGGTCAAAAATTGATAAAAACTAAAAATATTCAATTCGATGCGATTCGAATTCGAAACTTTTTCGAAATATTCGATTCGATTTGACATTAAAAAAAAAACCACATTCGCCCAGCCCTAAAAGTTTCGCAACAACTTTCGATAACTTGAACATGATTATTTCCTGCCAGAATGGAACTACTATGTATGAGGATGGAGTTACCGTGTCTCCCATCTTGAGTGCATTTTTTTTGCATATCACTATAAAGTGGAGACATTTGTCTCCCGGAAATTCAAGCCCCTACAGATCGACACTGATACTTTGAGTCAAGCTAATGTTTATTCTTGCGATTTTGGAAAAGAGGTCTAGAAACTTTTGCTACGCACCCTGTTTTGAAGCCAAGAAAGGAATATCTAAAGATTCTCTGTCTTCCCTGTATACGGTATATCCATTCGTTCCTGCAAGCCCCCTAGCGGGCAACGCATGGTACCCTTCTCTCTCGTCCTGCCAAAAATGCTGCAACAAGAAACTGTTCACACCGCACTGTACCAATTCTGAAATGTGTAATAAAATAATTTCTTTTGTCATCGCAAGTCCATTGTGTCGTCTTTGATCTCAACAATACAGGACTTACAGGAGGCTCTCAGTGATTTGTGGTCGTCATGTGGTTCATTTTCCTCCCCACGACATCATTCAAACACCGATATTTTTATGTGTTCAAATAACTAATGAGTATATTTTATTTGAATTTTTTCAATTTTTTCAGGTACTGCCTCTCATTACCCTGAACCAGCTAACAAGCGAGCTTACATTGAAAGTCTAATGTATAACTACAACTATGACTGCCCTCTTCCAGCAACGTACCCATGGCCAAAGGAGGCTTCAGAGCCAGTCATGGAAACTGAAGCTCTCCATGGAACGAGTGGAGAACACTTAAAAACACCAGAAAAGTTTTTCAAAACTTAAAATGTTATCTTAAAATCTTAAAACGATCATAGTTTTCAAAACTAGCAAATCACTTGTTCTGTGTGTACTGTTATTCGAGTACTTTGTTTATCTAGTCTAACTAATCGATTAATTAATTTAAAGTAAGAATCTTAATGTCTAGTTGGTACCCTTGCTTCTTGGTTTGTAGTCCATGTCCGAAATATTCCTCTTTCAAAACACTTACCAACCGTACCAATTTAAACACTAGAAGAAAATTGTTTCCTTCTTCTTTCAGTTACTTAGGTCTGAAATCTTAAATCTTAATCCCTCCTTTAAGAGATCTAACTCGTATCTCTTATTTTTGAAACGAACAAATCAAATGAAGACTTTGCCTTTTGTTAAGTCAGGCTTGAAAAAATTCATGTCGGCGTTTTTTCCCCCAATGGAAATATATTTCTGCTCATCAGTTTAGAGAAAATGATGAGATTCATTTGTCATTTCTAGTATTTCATTTTGATGGCTACTGAACCTAGCAGTGGCAACTTAAATTTACCTTTCGATCTTAAACTTTTATTTATTTTATCAAGATACCATCTCGACAATTGTACTTTCCTTTCTTTCTCATCCCATCTCTTCCATCATTCTAGCAACTGCCATCAAACAATGACCACTGATTTTCTTTGCAATTTTTTGTGACTCAGAATTTTTAAATTGTTGACTATTATTACTTGATCTCAAATCTCAATCTTGTCCACAAATCGCATTCTCCATAATTCGCTGAAGCCCACTGTCTAAAATATCTTTTGCGATGGTAAAGGTAACTTGTTCTAAAGAAGGTGCCTCTTGGGATTTGCTCTTTTAAGAGTTTAGATCCAGAATTAATTGCAGTTTCAACAACCAGTGGCAATGATCGTTTCACATGTTTTGATAACCAAGTTTGCTGTTAAATTAGGAGATCTCTCCTTTTTAGCTCTCTAAACATGCCATTACTTTATTTCATAATTACGCTAGTACATTTTATGTATTAAAGCTTTTCATTGCCTCAAATATTAATGACCCCAATTCATTATAGAACTATGGGTGCCTTTGAAGATTTTACATATATGATGTTATCGGACTTAAGTTTAAATAGTGTCCAAATTTTTCCCAGCGTCATCTGAAAGATTTAATCTCTTACTTATTTCCTCTCTTTATTTTAAAAGAAACCATCATAATATGCCTCTCATCTTATGCTAAGTATTTAAAAATTGAATTCTGTTTCAAAATGTGTGAATATATTTCTCTGCCCATGAGAATGACCAAATATGAGGCTATTTTATATAGTTTAGGTATTTGATGTTAACATGTCATGGGGTTTCATGAGTCTTTAATAACTTCACAGTTCATACTGAAACATTTTCTAATGCCAGTCAGTTGGATCAGCTGCATTGCTAGAATATCGACAAAGTCAGTTTTCCCTTTCAATAAAAGTGAAGCAATTCACAATTTTCGAGGAAAGATTCCCTGATGTCAACTTAAAGTTGCGAAGGAAAGTTACCAGTTATACTTCTCCAGTTGGATTTTTCTGTGAGATCAGAGTATTTATTTTTGTATAATTTATTTTTCATACTTAATTGTGTTAATATTGTGAATAAACTGTAACAATTGTACATTATGAACTAGGGATGAGTTTTCCTTAAGGGAAGTAAGTTCAAATGACTGGACCGGTTAGGCTAATTCTAGAGTGAATTTGAACCCATTTTGGTTTTTGAAAGAATCACTCAATCTAGATTCTAATTCTTGTTTTTATCTGGAAATCAGACGGTCTCTGAAGGACAAGTTTGTGTCCTTAATTTCTTCATTCGAATTTGTGTATTTTATGAAATGATTTGATCATAGTTCCTTTGTTTTTATGTAACACTGATGCTCTCGGAGCGCTGTGTGACCGATAGATTTGCTTTACTGGTCAATTATTGTCAGTATTCTCCGACATACCAAGAAGAAAATTTTGGTTTGTGGGACATTATTAGCTCATATTCTCTCACTTCTGTTTTGGGCAACCTAGAACTGTAGATCACGTCTCACTTAATTTAAGTTGTTAGAATGTGTCACTAAATTTTTCCTTCTCCAATTTTGTAAGGATTTTATCCTTATCAAACACCAAGAATATTTGAAAAGCAAGTTAAACTTAACCCAAAATATTCCTCTTTTCTCTCAAATTTAACAAAAAAAAAATCAAATATTGTGGATTTAAGTTTGGAAAGTGCTTTGTTCCCTCATTTGCAGTCCTCTATGTAAATGTACCTAATTGATCTGCAGGGCATAGCGGGGAAAGACCTTGCAAAATTATTTATGATTTTAAGTTTTTATGCGTATCAAGCAATTCTTTTATAATTTCCTCAAAAAAGACAAACATTAAATGATTCTTCAGTGAACCTTGCCTTTGCCTCATGACATTCTAACTTACAGTTATACCATTTTAATTTTAAGTTACCACCTTTTCACCTATTTCAAGGAGGCTCTTTTTAAATTGTTGAACAATACTACTGTGAAATTTCATACCGCATTATGAAAAATCTTTCTTCTTGTACGATACTATCCATTTCTTGTTATGCAAATTTGAAAATGTTACTTTTCTAAGAGCTTTTCGAAGTTTTCTATTTATATTTCAGCACTTGTTCAAAGTAGCAAATTTCAGCAGTTACATACCATTTTAAGGAGGTTGAAGTTTTACCTTTTCTTGAACTCAAATTAATTTTTACATTTCTGTAGGAGGGAAAAATTGTAATGTTAATTCTTCTTTTCGTCAGTTTTCCAATGCAATCAATGTCTGCAATTGTGCCAATTTTATTCTTTTTCCAGAAAATTTGTCAGAAAGATTTTCCCTAGGGAACTCGACATTTTTTCATCGCTTTGAGTTTCCTATACACTTGTTATCAAAAGGAGTGCAATTTTTTTTAATCATTCAACCTCCTCTGCTCTCTATGTTCAATAAATGGAGGGTAGCAACTCAGTTTAGGTGTTTAAATTGAAGTTCTTTTCATTTCAGCAGAAACATGCTGAGTCTCTCTCATGTGAAAAAAGGAATCAATTTGATTGTTTTGACATCAATTGTGACTTGCTAAACAGTAGTAAAACTTGTGTCCTCATATTTTAAAACGGAAATCCTCACCTCATTCTGAACTTATAAACTCCTCAAATCAAACGGCTGGATGTTACATACAGAATTGTCATAAATAGGGAGGTTTCAATGTTTCATCATCTTTAAAGTTTTCTTATTTCTCTGAGCAACTCTCTGTTACTTCTCTTACTTTTTGAATCTAATGGTTTACAGTGTTACTATTAGTTTTCATGTAAGAAAATTGAAATGAAATTGTCAAAAAGAAAAAAAATTGTCTCTGTTGAGGTATGATCAAACAAACAATGTGTTTTTAGTTTTATGATTTAATAGTTAATTTTAGCTCTTTGAACCCCTCTTATGTACGTCTTTTTCCGTATTTATGGGGCAGCCAAACAGGTGCTTGAAAGTAAGATTTATTTTCTTTTCGAAAATGAAATTTCAAAGAAAAATCATGTAAATTCTTTTTTGCTATCACAGCAGTTATCAGTCGCTTTGTGTCTGTTTTCTTTTTTGAATCCTCTCAGAGGCGAATATTGTGCTTGATTTATTCTAATGATCTACATTTTTCAATACCATTTGAATGGAAAGAGTACCAGTGTTTTTGAAAAACAGTATTAATATTGTTCTTGTGTTCAATATATTTTAAAAACAAAAATCAAACACTCAGCTTGTCATATTCATTTCTACGAAGAATTATTTTCCAGGCATTTTGAAATGTTTACCTTACTATCAATTCTCTTCATCTTTCAAATTTTTTCATGTGATAAAAACCCGTGTTGAGTTTTTTTTTCTTTGTTTTGTTATTTTTAGGGTGCATTTAATGCGAGCCTGAATTCGTGTGATACAAACCGCTTCTTTTTGAAAGATTTGTCCTACGTAGGTAGTAATTATTGAGTTTTTGTTTTAAATCTCATACTTGATGTAACTATCACATTTCAAGTGTTTCATTTCATTGTCATCAAAACGAATGAGACATCCATTTCGTGATTTGATTTTTGCTTGACCACCGAATATAAACTATTTGTCATCTAAACATGTGTTCTTACTAATGATTTTCCTGCTGGTTTCACCTGTTTTGATTTTTCAAGATTTTGAGTGAATGATTGACACTATTACTGTCATCAATGACTGCTTATTATCCTATTTTTGTAGTTTTCTCTTTTCATCACATGTGTTCAGGATGATCCACAAGTCCTGCTTGAAATTTTGTGCGTGCTCCTAGGTCAAAGGACGCAACTCTTTCAACTCTCCTAATTCCAAAGGGATTATTCTAAAAAGTGGCAAGAACATGAGTTATAGAGGTGGTGCAGGACTTTCGAATCACCCTGTATGTATGAAATTTATCACAGTCAATTAAATTTAATCAGAATTGTTAGAGAGAGAGCATGGTAAAGTATTATAGCTCCCTAAAACCAAAGGTTTTTTCTACGAGCGGGGCATTATCATCTGTGAGTAAATACTACTGTTGCCTACGATACTATTCGGCCAATGGTATTATTATTCTTTTTCGATTTTGTTGATAATATTAATAAGATAAGGAAGGTAATTATTTCATTTTTACCTTTTCCAGGTTTTCTAAAAGGAGGGCTAACAAAGTGCATTTCAAGATTTGTTCACGTTTTACTTTAGGAATTAAAGATTTTAAGGACATAAAAATTACTGGAAGCAGAGAAAGCCTAAAAATCAAGAGCCAATTTGTTTTATGAGAGTAATATTAATGAGAGAGCATAGTCAAATTATTAAGAACGAAAACTGCCTCAGCAAAATGTCCACTCCTCTCCTTTCTCTCTGCCTACTCAAGTCTGAACATGGATTCAGTAAGACCTGAGCTCATGTAAGGTATTTTTTAATAAACTATACATTTGGGTATGACTCAAGTTCAAACTTGAATGATGAAGTGCACTTGAAGACTTTAAGTGTAGTTGATAGGTCATTTCCATCTCATATTTATTGAAATCAAAATGTATTAGTTCCCTTAAGTTCGAAGATGGAGTAAAGAAAATGATGAGCTCGACTGTGAGTCTGAATACTGATGTAATGTATTAACCTCATTGCAACCCTTGATAATTTTCTCAAAAGACATTGGATATTTTTTTTTTTACAAAATAGTCACAGAGTCATTTCTGCACTAATTTGCAGTGCCTATGTAGTATGTTGCTTTGTTTGTAGTATAAAGATAATTCACAAAAATTAAGTTTTATCGATTATTATTGAAGGAGAGCTCGAAAATATGAGGAGATTTATATAATATGGATATTAATATGAGAAATTTAGAAATTTGTATAGTGAGGAGAGGAATTAACATGTTCTCCTTGCCTGGATAGATTGAAACTATTGCACGCAAGTGTTCTCGCTCTCAAGTCGCTCAAATTGCCATCACGGTTATTGAAGGCGAATTCGACAGTATGGGAGACACAATAATAAAGCGAGCACCTAATCAGTGAGTGTTCTGGGGGCGGGACGGAGCAGAAGTGACAAAGCTAATGCGAGCAACTACTCGTGCTCCTAAGCCGCTCAAATTGCCTTCACGGTTATTGCAGGCGAACTGGATGGAATGAGAAAAACGCAGGTCTCGAGGAGAGCAGCAAGCAACGTTTTGTTTTTTGCCGGACTGACGACGAAAGTGACCAAATTACCGCGCGCAACTATTCCTGCTCCCGAGCCGCTCATATTGCCATCACGGTTATTAAAGACGAACTCAACAGAATGAGAGACACGCAAAATTTTAAGAAAAACAATTTATCGTCTTTCATTACCTATGATAATATGAGCGGAAAAGTATGCAACGTCGCAATCGGAGGTACGCATTTTTCGACTTCAGTCATCGCTGTAGCGAACACCTACCAACCGCTCACTTTTAATAGGTATCTGTTATCTATCATATTAAACAATGCATTCAATCGTAATTTCAGTTCCGCATGCGGCGAAAATCTATCCGTAAAATCGTAACGAACTTTTAATAATCTAAAAAACATGCTGAACTTGCAACTGATGGACGTGTCTAAACACACCCTTCACCGAGCTATGCAATCGCGCTGATTCTTACCTTCACCTCTCCTTGGTCGGCGTAAATTATGATAGCGCCTACACGATGTCTCTTGTTTGTATTATTTACCCTTATTTCCAATGATATTCTAATCCATTAAGTCCTTCCCCACTTCCATTCACGTCGTTTGCTGAGGATTCGATAAAGAGTAACTTTCTAGGAGACTCACGGTCTTAACAGTCCTGAGTTTTTCAGCTTTAGTATGTTGCCGATTATTGTTTTACGGTTTTTTTTAACGGGACAACATGTCATATAAACCTAAGAGCCGGTCAATTAAATCGGGAATTTTCAAAAGAACTCGCATCTATATCAGTTTCAGTGAAGATTAAAGGATTCGACTTGGAACAATGAACTTTAGTTGTATTTTATGATAAAGTACTCACTGATTTACACGTAGGCTCAAAATATCAAGAGGGACTACCTCCGAAGACGCACAGTGTAAAGTAATTATTGAAATAATTTCGCAATTTACTTAGTACATTAAAATTGCTATTTTCCCGCATGAAATTGCAATATTTTTACATGATTTAGTCATTAAATATCGATTTTAACCGATCAGTAAAATGCGATGGGTATATATATATGACAAAAGTAGGTATTGTGCACTGCAAAACAACTCAATTTATTTAAATTTTATTGTAATAAATGAAATGAAGTGATAGAATCCCCTTCAATTAGCGAACAGACAACATGCACAACCTTGCGATATAATAGCAATCATTTTAAGATACGACAAGCGCTATTTGGGTTAATATCTTACATGAAGCGAATCTGTTTTCTATGCAATTATAATGCATGTAAGTAGCTCTTAAAACACAAAAATTCAATTTCGTAAATTGAGCTAAGTATCTGAAATCGAAGGATATTGAAAACCCTCTAAAATAAAACGGCAGAAAGTGGTTCAGTAGTGTTGAAATAGTTTGTCGTGCCTGTCGGCCGCCTGCGTGGATCTTATCGTGGATGAAATTTTCCAGGTGAGAGGCTCCAACTTCCTGGCCGCAAAGTAAACTACTATGCCATCATCCCACTCCTTCATTCCGAGCCCTCTAATTGATGGCGCTCAAAATCTTATGATCATCTGAGCGAGAAGTGCTGAGAGAGTGAGTAATTACTGTCAGTCGCGGATTTCTGTTCTGGCCTCGTCCTCGGTTCCTTTCGCGTCTCAACTCAAGTTTTAGCTCTGCACTTCAGTATTTTCAGTCAGTATCGTACTATTTTTATAGATCCATAGGTCACATCAAAGACGTGCCACTTTGCAGGTTCGAGTCGTGATGACCAAGTAGCTAAATTTGTCCAAGTTGTTGTATATGTTGCCTATCTACTGATTGAAGGGGCACCTCTCATTTAAATTCATTGCGATAAAATTGAACTAAGTTGCCATTTCTCGTTGCACTGCAAATTGCCTGTGTTTCGGATACATGGAACTCGTCTGAGTGATCGTTTAAAATCGCGTTCGTTGATTAAATGATGTAAAAATATTGCATTAATACGCAATCTTATTTCAATATTTTCATTGCACCGTGCTGCTTGGGTGGTGTTAAGTGGACATAGATGCAACCATCGGGGATTTTAAATCGCGAATTGATTTTCACAAATAAAGGCTCGAGGCTTCGGAAACGGGCCAACCCTCTTTATGGGAAATTCAGCTGCCGTTGCGTCCGACTGTAATTGCTTCAGGAAATCCAGGTACGGATTTTCACTTCAAATTTTATCAAAATGAGACGCAATTTGTAGAAATTAGCCCCTTTGAAAACAAAATTAATCAGTTAGCGGAAGCAACTGATGGCGTCAATACATTCCATTTCCCCATTGAATGCATTAACGTTGAGAACCGATAATGATTTCGTAACACATCGTTTGCTGAGGTCTTAAAATGCGAATTTTTTATTGCGATGCTGCAAATATTCCCCCGTATTTTATTTTATTTAATACGATACCATCCGAAACTTTTAGTGAAGTTTTCTTTGTACTTTCTGCACTCACTCAAATAAGTTTACAAAAATTTTAAGGTGAAATTTTGATATTTTTTGCTTCCTTTAAACATTGAACGGTGCAACGGAGAAATGGTTTTTTTGACGTATGAGCCATCAAACATATAATATTGCCTGTATAAAAGTATGCCCGCAGGAGGGAGGTGACACTTTAATGTAACAAACAATTCATTGCGATATATTGTAAATCGACGATGTAAGGCGGCAATTACATAACTCATCAGGTTGCGACGTCGCAGACTTCCTGTCATTCTTTATTATTTAAACGAAAAAATACTCAACGGCAATTCTTTAAAACTGCCGTGATTTTTCTTCTCTGTGCGAAGAAAATTCTGCAAAACCTTCAAGGAATGATGTCAATTTGTTTTCCTTTAAAAAAATAATATAGAGGCAGAGATTTTCAGACACCGCAAACGAGATATTATATGATTGCGGACTCACGCTGTCGATATATGACTTAATTTTTCATTTCCAAACCTTGAATCTTACATCCATCATCTTGTCATCCACACGATAGAGAATAAATCCAACCTCAGTAAAAATCTGGAATAAAGTCTATCAACTCAAGGTACTTTCAAATAAAGCAAGCGGAACATTTTTGCGGCTCGCTTTATTCCCGCCTAAATTTTGAATCAATTTCTGGTTAAATGAATTTGCCGCTCTTCATTTACGCGCGCAAGTACCGGAACGCCACCTGGCGCAGAAAACTTGGAGCTTTGTCGTAAACATTTCACGTGGGTTATATCAGGGACGAGTTCTATAGGACGCCGTTCTGTTGTGAGCGGGTGATTGCAGCGCATTCTCGCGTAGGATCCTAGTCAACTCAGAGGATCCTTCCCCCCGATCCTCGACTCATCCATCGCCCGCTCCAAAAGTGAGGTTAAGCCGGAGATTGAAAAATAACACATAAGGCGGCTGAATTCTTAAAAAATAAGTATATTTTTGGCGTTTTTCGACCCCTTTCGACGAGGAAGGGCCCGCCACATGTAACTATACGATGAAAAATTCGATTTTTTGCAGTTATACGCGATCCTACGGATTTTAATGAAGTCCAACAACTGATAACAGCAGTGAGTTGCGAGGATCCTACGCGGGAATGCAGCACTAGTACCTGCTCACGAATTTTTACATTGACTCTTACGGGAGTCCAGGGTCCTATAGAACTGGTCCCTGGTTATATTTTATATTTCGTATTCGTTATCAGTTTTCCTTTTTTGTGTTATCAGCTCTCTGTGGGTTTTGAGCGTGGTGATTTCCGTCCAAATTTAATGTATTTAAATTGAAATTATTTGTGTGAAAAGCTCAAGAATCGGAAGAAGTTACGGTTTCCTGTTCGAATCAGTTATCACCGCAAAAATTATCGACTTTTCGACCGCCGGTCTGCGGATGGTCTGCTCCTCTTATTAAGGTATTGAAAAGAAATTTAGGTATACCATAATTTTCATGAAACTTTCACACCTCTAAGTTATGAGAAAGATAAGTTCAATGAAACAGCTTTAGAAACTCTGAAAATAAGCTTCTAGGTTCTCTAAGTCTTCGTTCATGTTGTACCTTTCGACTCGTATGATTGTGGTGTCTCTTGGTCTTGGTTTTCCTTCTGTCTTTTTCACTGTCTTGTATTTATGTTACTTAACTACATATCATAGGAACCTAGAAAATCAACCTTGAAAGATCTAACTTTGAAGCATTCACTCACTTTCTATGGATCAGTATTTATTATTTGTTGTTTTAACGCAAATGAGCCTCATAGTATGGGATGATCGGATGCTTGCGAAAACTTTAGACCGGCCCCCTCAAAATACTTCAGCATTGATTCGTTTTTTTTTTATGAACTCATTCTACAGGTGTTCCGATTCGATGATCCCTAGCAATCCGCAGTGTAAAAAAGAATTTCTACTAGTTTTTGGTCCCGCTGCAGGGGGCTCTAGGTATCAACCGCAGGTTGATTTGTTACATTTCTGACTGGACTTTTTTCTAACTTAGCGAAAAAGGAATACAAGTACGCTTACATGAGTGCTCGTATTTTTCCTGAAGTTTCCATGAAGGTAATAGCAGGAAGGAACCGCAACTCACATTTTAGGACCTCAACGTTGTTATATATTTGAATAATCAATGCTTATTCGAATAATTGACAATGTCGCAATCGGCACAATAGGAATTCAGTTACAGTTCAAGAAAAACAAGCAAAACGCCCATAGTAGTTTGTGTGGCATGCGTCAAAAACCACAAAGTCCATTTTAACTCCTGGAGGCAACTATTTGTACTCCATGGATGTCTTTGTTGCATACGCGCTGAAATGAAGGCGTTTTGACTGTCCAGCAGGCACCTACCGCTTCATCCGCGGCGCAGCGTCAACGGCGGGCGTTACTGCGAGGAACCAAAATGGCAGAGCGCTTTCGATACTACAAATATATATCTCCTAGGTGTGTTATTCGTGTGGCACGAATAATAATTTGCGCGTTAAAGTATAAATGAAGAATCGAGGGCACTCAGATATTTTAGATCCTTGCAGTAAACTCCGCCATCATGCTACGTGATATTAATCAGTTCTTCAACAATTTTCCTTGAATATTTGTAAGGAAGTACCAAGTTGTGATCATCATTTGAGAAATGAGTATCGAGGGAAATTATTGAAATTTCCTTCATTGCTGTATGTTACATTTTTTTCAGGGGGGGGGGGGGGTGTCGTAGACCCGTGTCATGGGTGGTTGGGTTTAACTTTTTGCAACGTCATAACGTGTTGTCGTTATCGCTAGGCTCACGCTCGTTTCGGAATATGGAAAAACAATGTTGAGGATTTCGATTATGTTTGATGCTGACCATAATGCTGCTTAAGTTCCGGCGGTGGCGACGGTTGCAGGACAACAAAGCCGTGAATTAGGCAATTAGATACCCTCTCGCGCTGTTTGCCTTTAGGAGTAAGACGTGCGTGTCAATGGTCAAAATGCAAAACCACGCAGCTCCCATTGGCCGTTTCAAAATTTCTGCTCTTCTTTATTTTTTCGAAGAAGAAAAGGCCAACTTCAGAATATCCTGTCGACAGAGATAAAAAATCAAGGAAGTTTTCGAGAAATTACGTTGACTAGTTCTCCAGAAAAAACAATAAAGTAAGTATGACGAGAAGTCTGCAAACGGAGATACGTGGTTTCGCACTTCGGTACGTCATCGATGTACAGTGAAGCTCGTTGAGTGCGCCTTCATTTCCCAGAATATGCAACCTAGGCATCCGTCGAGCAGGAATAGTTGTATCATCAGGCGCTGTCTTCGTCTTTTTATTGGTCCGTCTGCAAATCACCGAACACGGATGTGAGACATATTTCATTCTTTTGTTAACGAGACACTATGCCGGCATACGTTCATTTTCCCTACGATCGTGGGCCAACAGTGCCTAGATCTAAATCCCGAAAAGAGAATGACGCTGTAGCAGTCGTCATGGCAATGCGAAAAGTTTCCCATAACGAGAGAATAAAGGTATCAAGAGAGAACTATCAATTTCGATGAGTAAATTGATAAATTCATACAGACGAGAGAAGACAATCGGTCATGTCGTTTCGATTAGGAATAAAGTTTCTGCTTTTTTCGCGCGCCTGTAATTTCAGCTCTGTTGTCGTGGAAGTTTCAAATAGCTTCGTAAGCGATTAAGTCAATCAACTTTTGCGACGGAGATAGCCGCACGAAAGTTGAGTGACTTTGAGAGAAGTTTTTATCCGAGCCCAGTTCACGGTCCACTCGGCAACAGACGACAGGAAGAACCGAGAGATTCGGTTACCTACGCTCTCTTCATTTCGCTGTTTTCACTCGTTCTTTCGCAAGTCTGGATTTACGTTCGTGCCTTTTTACTTTCACGCTCCCCTCGGTTTTCCGGGCGGTCAACTACTCAGTGCTTTCGTCCGACTCACCCCTCCATGCTCCGAAAACTATGAGTAAAGCTCTGCGTGGTTTTGTCAGGTTTTTATCTCACTTTCCTCTGCTTCTCTTGTTTTCGGTCTTACCTCCTAATTCTTTGACCGACTTTGTGTTTTCATTCGATGGAATTCACCACAGACTCTTTCATCGAGAGATGAGCACTTGATTTTTTATGAGTTTGTCTTTTTTTATCCATCATGGTAACGATCAGAGTTGCTCTATTTTGTTTGATCTTGGAGTCAGCTAACAAATATAATCAGGTTCAAAAGTTAGGGATCGCATATGAATCAGAATTGGACTGCACTTAACAATTAGGAGCTACAATGTCTGATTCCTCAGTGAGAACACTTACGTCCGTTGTTGTTAAACTGTGCCAGAAATTGTAGCTCCTGATTGCAAAATTTAGTCCAATTAATATTCGGTAATGTTAATTGCACCCCCCCCCCTCCGCATGCACATCGGGTTACAGCAAAATTTTAATCGAAGGGCTTGGATGACAAGGCGCATACGTGCATTGTTTGAAAAAACTGAGCTATTAATGATTTCAAGTAAAAATAGTCTTAATGCATATTCTGTGAAGAATTCGTCCCCAACTTCCAATTTTGAAGCATCAAAAAGTCAGTTTGAACTTTCATTGAGCCTTAAGGATCTATGTAATTTCGAAACTTCAAACGAAATGCCAAAAACTGTACCTATGCGCATTGTTCTCCAAGCCCCTGAATTAAGCACATTCTGTCTCAAGTATTCGGAACAGGATTTTTTTAATCCTAGTTCGTTAAAGTGGTAAACATACCCACCCCGACAAATTTGAAAGGAGCTTAAAAATGAGAATTTCAAAATTGGGGGGGGGGGGGTTTCTTGGCCCTTTCCCCCAAATGACCCTCTCGCTCTCTTTAATGCTGGTTCACATTGTTGTGAATTACAATTCACGAACAAGAATCAATCCCACATTCATGTAAAGCATTTGAAGTGCTCTTGCGCCTCGTGGAATGCCCTCTCTCAAACATCAACTCGCGATTTATTTAAAACACAGAGTATTTTTTTCTCTTTCGTTATCGCGTGTTTTTTTAAGTGCACAGAGAAGCCGAATCTCATGTCCGGTCGTATCGACCCACGTCGAGGCTTTTCTTTTTTCGGCTTGCGTTTAGTACGTCAGACATGTTTTCAATTTATGTTGCTCGACTGTCAGCTACCCGCGGCCACCGACCGTCCGTCAATAAAGGCGCGTTTTAATGAATTGGATATTTGCACGCAGTTGGATTATCATCGAGGCAATTTGGGATTTGAAAGTAAAGAGTGCTCTGTTAAAGCTGTCCTAATGTGGCGGAAATGAAGGAGACCCATACGAAATCTCAAGTTGAAACCTGCAGTTGGAGGACAAGGCGCGGCATAAGTGCAGTTTTGGAAAAAATTGAGATATCAATGCTCTCGAGTAAAACTAGTCTTCATGCATATTCTGTGAAAAATTCGCTCGGAAATTACAATTTTCAGCATTAACAAGTGAGTTCGAACTTTTTTTTTTCCGCCATAAGGATCCACGTAATTTCGAAACTTCAAACCTGTATTTTTAGGAATGGCAAAAACTGCATTCGTACGGCTCGTCCTCCAAGCCCCACGTTTGAACTTTAAAAAAGCCCCTGCGCACCGGGCGTTTCTGATTGATTGTTAAATCTATGCTTGAAACTAAGATATTTTCGTGGCCTTTTCATTAACACATATCAACGGTGTAAGTCGGCAATCACATTGCGACGTCGCAGACTTCCTGTCATACGTACTTTATTTTTTAAACGGAAAACTATACTCAACAGCAATTTTTTAAAACTGCCATGATTTTTCTTCTCTTTGCGAAGAAAAGTCTGCATAAACTTCAAGGAATGATGCCGATTTGTTCTCCTTTAAAAAAATAACATAGAGGCGGAGATTTTTTGACACCGCAAACGAGATATCGACGGTGAAACTACCAAACCACGTATCTCGGTTTGCGACGTCGCAAACTTCCTGTCATACTTTATTTTTTAAATGAAAAACTACTTAACATCTAGTCTTGAAAATTTCTATGATTTTTCCTCTTTGTGCGGAGAAAATTCCGTAAAAATTTCAAGGAATGATATTGATTTGGTCTACTTCAAAAAAATAAAATGTGAGCGTAGATTTTTAAACACCGCAAACGAGATACGTGGTTTGGTAGTTTCACCGTCGATATGTGATTGCGGACTTGCGCCGTTGATATGTATGTCTGTAATTTATTTTATTTTATTAATTTTCTAATAGTGAAGAAGTATGTTTTTACTATTTCGCTTTGTATAGAAAGAAAGAGCGTTTGGTTCAGGCGCAAGCGTGGCGCGGCGCGGCGCCTTTTAGTGGATGGTTTCTAAAGTGCTCCTTCACTCAAAGCGATAACTATTCGAACTTTGCTGTCATGGGGTTGCATACGCATCCTTTTGAAGGCGATTTTCCCGCGCGCATCAAATTATGAAGCTTTGAACGGTGGTTTCGTTTTCTTGCAAGGGTTTTCGTCTCGTGTTGTTCAATTCTTCGGTACTTCAACTCTGTTGGGAGGTTATTATTTTTTATCTTACGAGTTTCAGGCGCGTCGCTGCGTGCTCCGTTAAAACTACTCCGAATGGTTGGCGTTGATCTCATCATTTCAGTGGATTTTAAACGTTAAAAAAATACACTATGAATGTAGTACTACCATTACTAGCTGTGCTTATCGTTCATTGCATGTAAGATGATAGCGTGGTTATACATATGAATGTCATACAATTATTTCTACGATTTTTACCCTTAATACCCGTGACAACAAAGGGATCTTGCCTTTCACCTCATGCTTTTTTACAAGGAGGTGGCGCAAAAAATCTCGATCTCGCCATCCGTCGATTGCCGCAAATGTGGATGAAACAGAGCCTGGAATTTGAGGAAAGAATCTCTAAAAAGTGTCCATAACTTCTATACACAAATTTTTCTTTTCTTTTTTAGTTGAGGAAAATCATGCTATCGGAGTCAATAGTTTTGGATTTTGGTGTTGGACGATCGCAAAATATCGGAACGCGTTTTTAGTGTCAATTTATCCTTACCTTGTAAAAATAGCACTTTATTATCAATGAACAACGTGGAAACTTGCTTTTTTGCGAAGAAATGTACAGTTTCATCGTATCTCCAGCTTCAATTCTATGCAGGTCTTAAATCCTCTCTGCAGAGCAGGCCCGCCACATCCCATCTCGGGCCCTGGTACCAGTTTTAAGGTCCGGGCCCCAAGCACGGAGGGGGGGGGGGTTCCGAGGGGCATCCACCGAGAAATTTTAGAATTTAAACGTTTAATCGGACGCATTTTGAAGCTTCCATAAAGAATTTTTCCATCAATTTTTGCGGAGTAATTATGTTTTTTTTTTCTACCTTCAGCACAAAATACTTGCGAATTGTTTCATTCAAAACATCTGGAAAATTTTTATTTTTGGGGGGGGGGCATATGATATTATTTTCAGTTCTAAGCGGGCCAGGCCCCCCTGGACTCCCCCTTCGTTTGTCTATGGCAAGGGAGTTGAGCCATGAGCCATTGAAGTCGAGGATGCCCAGACTGGAGACTCTTAGCATCTGACGACGGAAGAAAATGAAACGCAGTTACTAAAAATATCCCTCTGTACTTAAAATCTTGAAAATAGAAAGAAATTTTCCAAGAAGTATACTTCTTTGAAAATTTAAGAAGAATTCTACAGTGCCCCAGCGTGATTCTGAAAATCTATTCACCTTTTGCGAAATTTTTAGGGTAAATTTTTCACTTTTTCTTACGAAACTAGGGTTGCATGTGAATCCGTAGTGGTTTTTCACGGGTAACACGGGCCCCGGTACCAGGGACCCAGTATTCCCCCCTTGTGGCGGGCCTGCCTTCATGCACGCTGGGCGTGTCGATTTCCTTTGACATTTTTGCAGTGGTGAATGCATAGCTGAAGTGCGCTTCAGCTAGAATTTTATTTACAAATGTCGGTTAAAAATATCCCTCTGTACTGAAAATCTTGAAAATAGACATTAATTTTCCAAGAAGCATACTTCTTTGAAAATTTAAGAAGAATTCTACAGTGCTCCAGCGTGTTTCTGAAAATCTATTCACTTTTTGCGAAATTTTTAGGGTAAATTTTTCTTACGAATTTTCTCGTTTTCTTTTTCTTACGAAACAAGCGTTGCATGTGAATTCGTAGTGGTTTTTCACGGGTAACACGGGCCCCGGTACCAGGGACCCAGTATCCCCCCCTCTTGTGGCGGGCCTGCTGCAGAGATAGGCAACGAAGAACTGATTCATTGCAATTGTAGGTAGTGAACATTCCTCTGGTTCTTGGGAAATGAACTGTGGTCATTCTCTTCTCAGGGGTGCGTTTTTAATAAGAATTTCGTTTCGCATTCTTTCGTAACTCTCCTGGTACCCCCGTGCGTTTTTGAAATATTTCTGAATGAATATAAATATTTCAAACGCACATTTTTCAAACCCTCTCCCTCCAAACGATGTAGGTACATTCCTCATACATTACACAAAGTACACTATGTCACCAACGAGGGACAGGTTCCACGTCAATTATTGTGGTGTTCAGGCATTCTTCCTATCATAATTGACTTTTCTAATGTTGTAATAATTACAGTACATTTTTCAAGGATGCTTCTGGGAAAATATTGGAAGAGTAGAAGGACATGAAACGTATATTTGTAAAATAAATTCTGAGTTTTTCCCTCACTTAAAATGCAAGGATACAGAATGATTGTGGACGCAATTGAGTATGCTAATCACGATAGAAATTTTTATTTCAGTAGATCTTAATTTAAATTTGCGAAATGATCCGTTTTTTCTGAAAGTTGTTTTCAACTTGAATGTGAGAAGTTCAACAATATGCGACGTTTTTCAACTTGATTCTCCCCTTGGCAGTGATCCTACTTGAAAGCCAGCTTAGTTATCGTGTTACATAAATTCATTTTGAACAGTATAAGTCACGCAAGGCTACGGTTTTCAAGACTTTTTGCGAAAATTTGAGATTTAAGAAAATCAACAAAAATCTCCTGTCATTGAGTTGGTAGGGACCAAAAGCGATCTTGTTGAGAGAGATTAAGAAGTGCTCGACAGTTCCTCAAGTGATCCAGGTTTTTTTTCGGTAAAATGATATATAAGCTTTGCAAAGTTGCTAAATCTTATACCTTCAAATTTATTTCCTACCACATGAACTGAAGTCCTGCACAATAGAAATGTGCCAACAACACGTAGATCATTATTAGCGCAGAAATACAAGCAAGCTGCTCCCGAATGTTGCAGCGTCTTGCACAAACTCGGCAACATTGTAAGGCTTATCACCCCACTTATCAGGCAACCTAACAAAAGGCTCATTATCAGCTTCATCCCATCGACAATGGTTTTTTTCTAAACTTCTGTAAGAGTAATCATCATGTATTTGGACTATCTTTTCAAATACCTTTGTTGTGTGTTACTCAAGAACACTTTTGTATGTGTACGTGTAGCTTGTAGAAACGGGTAAGAGATTCTTTGTTATAGTCAACATTTTAAGTTCGATCAACAAAAAACTCTCAGGCGGATGTGTAAGTCGCAGGCAATCGCCGGCAAATTTCAATTTATTTTTGTTTTATAAGCTACTGTTAAAATTCCGAAGCAAAGGATGAAGATATAGCAAGTTCTGTTTTTCATGCATAGAATACGAACAGACCTTTTTGTTCTTCCTAAATGCGTGGTACCAGATAGCACTCTCGCAAGTGCGTGCAGTGAAATCGGTGACCGTGGTTAGGTTTGGTTCCGGATAGGCAACTAAACTAACTCCCCGGCAAAGCGGAGAGTATCACGGGATTTGAAGGCGCTCCAAGCCAAGTTGGCGGAGATTGCTGTTGCCTGCGACGCGTATCAATCAATTTTTATCCGATTCTTGGATGTATTTGTGTGAAGCTTTCGGATGTCTCCCATCTGGAATCGCCTTCTAAATTTAAAATCAGGAATCGTTACTTTCCAAAAGCGGTCAACCTCAAATCTTGCCTCATCAACCTCAATACCCTGGTAAAAATTGGCGATAGGAGCTGCGTTTCAAAATACCATAGGAGTTCTTATAGCCGACTGAAGAGGGCGATAGGAAATCATATAGCTGGATGTAGAAAGTGGAAAAAATCATACGGCCGGGCTACCCGAAGCGATAAAAAATTATACAGCCGGGCTATAGTTCCTATCGCCGGCCTTTACACTTTATCGCCTGGCTGCTGCTTTTCCGCCATCGGCTATAAAAGGCTGTAAGAAATTGTGTAGAAATTCTTGTGCTTTGTAAATCCTTAAGTTTGTACGGGGTCACCGTAATATTTACAAAACGCACATTTTATTTTCCTTTACTACATATTTTTTTTTAATCAATTAAAATGAGAATAATCCATACAGAGCGTGCAAACATTTCAAAATCATGAGTTGAAAAACGCTGACTCCGCCAAATTAAATGTTAGAGCCTAACACAAAGCGGAGCGGCGGCGCACTGGCGCCTACAAACCTAACAGAGATACTTCACGCATTGCGCAATGCGTGAAGTATCCCTGTTAGGTTTGTAGGCGCCAATGCGCGTTCAGAGCTGGCTGCCCGCCCGCCGCGCCGCA